CCGTCGGGGCGATCACAGCCAGCACAAGACAGCCTGAATTTCCAAGCAGCTCCCATCTCCGCAGCCAGGTTATTTCTAGAAGCAAACACTGCCATCCCTTGGTTTGAATCATAGAATAGCTCAAGTTGGAAGGGACCCACAAGGATCGTCGAGTCCAACACCCTGCTCCTTGCAAGACTACCTAAAATTAAACCATATGACTAAAAGAGCATCGTCCAGATGTTCCTTGAACTCTGACAGGCTTGGGGCCGTGACCGCTTCCCTGGGGAGCCTGTTCCAGTGACCGACCACCCTCTCAGAGAAGAACCTTTTCCTAATGTCCAACCTGAACCTCCCCTGATGCAGCATCATCCCATTTCCTCGTGTCCTGTCGCTGGTCACCAGGGAGAGGAGATCAGCACCTTCCCCTCCGCTGCCCCCCTTCAGGAAGGTGTAGATTGCAATGAGGTCCCCCCTCAGCCTTCTCTGCTCCAAGCTGAACAAACCAAGTGACCTCAGCCGCTTCTCCTAAGTCTTGCCCTTGAGGCCTTTCACCGTCTTGGTTGCCCTCCTCTGGGCACACTCTAATAGTTTGATGTCCCTCTTACACTGAGGTGCCCAAAACTGCACACAGCACTCGAGGCGGGGCTGCACCAGTGCAGTGCAGAGTGGGACAATCACTTCCCTCGACTGGCTAGCTATGCTGTGCTTGATGCACCCCAGGACACGGTTGGCCCTTTTGGCTGCCAGGGCACACGGTTGGCTCATACTCAACTTGCCATCAACCCAGACCCCCAGATCTCTTTCTGCAGGGCTGCTCTCTGTAGTCCTCCCGTGTCACCTGTCCTTGCTTCCAGTGTTCATACACTTTCCTTTTCTGCCTAAGTTCTAGAAGGTCCTTGCTCAGTCCAGCCGGCCTTCTGCCCCCTTGCTTGACTTCTGACACTTCAGAATTGCCTGCTCCTGCGCTCTTAAGAGATGGCTTTTAAAAAGTGATCAGGATTCATGGACCCCAATACCTCCAAAAGCAGATTCCCAGGAGACCTTACTAACTAGCTCCTTCAGCAGCCCAAAGGCTGCTCTCCCCCTGCACAGGGTCAAAGTTTTGCTGGCGGTTTTTCTCCTAACCCTTGGAAATTCAACCCCTTCGTAGTCACTGTGACCAAGACAGCCACCAACCACCACTTCACCCACAAGTGCCTCTCTGTTTACAAACAACAAATGTAGGAGGGCACTTTTCCTAATTGGTTCCCTTAGTACCTGCACCAAGAAGTTATCATCATCTGCAACGTGCTTCAGCAATATCTTGGACCTTTTTGTGTCCACTGTATGATATTCCCAGTTGACATCTGGGAGGCTAAAATCACCCATAAGGACAAGGGCAGTCGATCTAGAGATATCCCTTAATTCCTTGTAGAATAATTCATTGGTGTCTTCATCCTGGCTGGCTGGGAGGTCTCAGAGGCTGCAGACCTCCCTAAACAGAGGGTCCAGTCTGTGCATTGGGCCTTCTGTTCCCCACAGAAGGGAGTCTCCTATGACAAGGACTCATCCTTTTTTCCTTATGGAAGTGGTTTTGACGCAGGGCGTAGGCCGACTTAACCTTGGTGACACCTCCAAGCTAGATGAACCATCGTCCTCATTGTCGTTCAGTCCCACGTGCAGAGCCTCGTACCTATTACGCAAGGGCACCTGGGAAGGTGGAGCAGTTGCGGAGGAGACGCGCCTGCTGCGCCAGGCAGGAACTTGTCGCCATTGCCCCCATCCCTTAAGTCACTGTGTTCAGCCAGGCGGAGAGAGGACAGGGAGTCCTCCGTATCATGGGTCCTGTCTGCCTGACAGGTCTGTCCCAGGAAGGCAGGGTGCAGTTCCAGTAGTCTCTCTCTCTTGCTCTCCCTGATACTCCTCAGCCTACTCACCTCTGGTGAGTCCGGTACTGGTTTAAGAGCAGGGCACAGCCTGCGGCCTGGCACCTGGGTGGCAGCGTGTTCCCACCGGAGCTCTGTCTGGGCAGCTGCGTCAGTCGTGGTGGGCGCAGAGCTCCGAGAGGCCATGGCCTTCTGCCGGGTGGAGACCGTTGCTCCCTGGCTGAGCCGGCAGAGCTACAGCGCCCTGCCGCACCGTGGCCTGTTTGCCCACCCTGGTCACTGGCGCTCACCAGGGGCTTCTTTTATACTCGTGTGGGCTTGGCTGCCATTGCTCCTGGGAGGCAACTACTGGGAGAGAGGTAGAGAGGAGTCAAAATATCTGAGCAAGGGGAAAGAGAACAGACTGGCAGGATGCAGGGGCTCTGTCTGGTCCATCAATACATTTGTAAGTAAGTATTTATAAAACTTCTGTTTTCCATTCATGTAGCAACCTCTAAACAGTTTTAAGATTGAGACAATTTCAGGCAGAGCATGAAACTTTCCCAGTTTGTCAGCCTGTTTTGAGCCCTGACAATCTGCTTTTTAACCGAAAGACTCAACAAACAGCTTACAAAATAGAAGCCGTCAAGCGCTCGTATTTATAGTGCCACGGTTCGCAGCAGCCCTCGCTACGGGCCAACACAGCATCGTGCCAAGCGTTACATGAGCACAACCAGAAGAACGGTCTTTGCCTCAAACAGCTTACCCCAGGGTGAAACAACAGCCGGACAGAGAGACAACCACACACGGATGTCACGAGCCAGTATCAGTCAGCAGGATCAGCGCGGGCTGCGCACCGGCAACTAGACCTGGCAAGCTTTTAGTAGCCGTCGTGGCAAGGAGGAGCTCTGAGGCTCCCTTCCCCTGTGCCTTCCCACCACTGAGGGGCTGACGGGAAGGAACTGAAAATCCACTGAATACTGAACCAAACCCCGCAGCGCCGTTCCTGCGGGTTTGTCTCTGCAGCTGTCGCGCTGAGCAAAGCTGACGTGGTTAAGCGGACACGTACCCGAGCTTTCTCGTCCCGCCGGTGAGACAAACCAAGGCGTGTTGTGCTCCTCCGGTCAGCTGAATCGGTATTGCTGCTCCTCCTGCTCTTTGGGGATGGGTTCGTTTTCTTGAAGGATCTTTGTATCTCATGGTTTTGTCTGATGCGGTTAAACCCTTCTATATACTGGCGTTCAACAGCTGGTATTAAAGAAAGCAGTGTTTTTAAAAGGAGACGTCTACTCGATAAATTATGTTCCTGTTCAACGAATTACTTTGGAGTCTTTTATCAATAAAAGAATTCACAGCATGAAAGTGGACGTTTGCTAGTTTTGTCATCCGACATTTTCACAAGCTGAGTACGAACCAGTTGAGAAGGCAAAACCAGGTTTAAAAAATCTGGCAGGACTGAAAAAATCAACGAAGGCAGTGACGGGCAGGCGGCAGGTTGGTGGAGCTGGGTTCATCTCTGCAGCAAGTGGAACTCCTTCAGCAGCACTTCTGTGTCTCTGTGCAAAGACATTTTTTAATTCAGTAAATAATTCATTTCGCTTACCACCAGCAGCCTGACGGCTGCCAGGGGAGGAAACAAGGAACCTGAAAGTTAGAGATGAGGGGCTCAGAAGAGGACACGTTACCAGCAGAAGCTGGTTTTAGAAAGCAGAATATATAGAAAGAAAAACCCAGGCAATTACTCTCTGCAGAGCACAGACAGGATGTCAGTCACTGCTGAAAACCATCATTCTTGTACTGAGTTACACAGGAAAAAGACCAAGGTACAAAGACAGGCCAGAGTATCAATATAGTGTTTAATATTCTGAAATTGAAAAAAAAAAAAAAACCCTAAAAAGTTAAAATATCAGTTACCATCATATGATAAAACCTTTCATCAGCACATTGAAAGAGTTAGGAATATTACACGGAGCATACTTCCAGTAGCTTACACTTCTGTTAGACCTACACTGTTGTGTATCTAACTCAGAAAAGTAGCAGCCCATTTTTTCCTTCTGTTTACAGTATTTTAAATATTGTATTCCACTTTACTCAGCACTGATACAGTTAAAACTATTCTGCATAGATTTATTGTTTTACTTGGAGATAATTGTCATCAATGGAAAAAACGCGGTAGGTCAGGAAGTGATTAGGGAACGCTGCTCGAGGGAATCCTCGAGGCTGCAATCCGATGACGCTCGCTTCGGTAATTAAGGAGTAGGTTGATGACTCTGCAGTACTTAAAAATTAAGCAGGTTCTACACAAAATAACAGCAGTTCCTCTGATTACAGAGACGACGACTGCAGGGAGGAGTGGCAGAGGTTTGTCTGCACAGAAGCCGAAAGGTTGGTTGCTTCCAAAAGCAAGTATAAGATGTATGGAAATTAAATAAATTAAGTGCTTCAGACGGGAAAAAAAAAAAAAATCAGTTTCACAAAGTGTTACAAATGCCAAGTGCTGTGCATTGTTTTTAAAGGAAAAACAAGTTTAAAAAGTAAAAACAGTCAATAAGAAGAGCCAAGTATCTCGTTTCACCAGCAGGGAGCTTTCAGTGCTATCAGGGAGAGCCTGTCTGCGTCTACCTTTTAAATAATACATAAATATAGATACAGGGGCAAAGGACAGCCCTCCCAGCCAAATCTAGCTGCCAGCTCAGAAAGATACTCAGCATTTACAGTAACTCCATAAATCCAACAAATGCACTTAATTTTTTCCTTTCGGTGACCGTTTCCAGCTATTATGGGCTGTAAAGACGGTATCGAGGCAACCCGTGCACAGCCCAAAAGAGCTCCAGTGGAGCTCCTGAGCTGGCTCCGGCTCTCTCGATGCAACCTGCACCAGACAGCCTGGCCTACAGCCCTCACCCTTCACACCACCACACGTCAAGTTTAAAGCCAGTGACCCCTCCATTCACATTTCTGTTTCTTTATCAAACGTGCGGGAGCAGTACAAGGTGCAAGGAGAGATTCGCTTCTATTTTGATTTTCTACAACAATGCAGGGACTAAAATAACTCAATAAATACAAAACAATAACACTGACAGGTAGTTGAAATATATGGAAAATGCTGGAGCAAACACAGCCTGAGGTCTTCACTTTTTTCCGGCACAGGTAGACGTATTTTGAATAGCTTAACTATTCCACTTTCCAAATGGCAATCTTCCCTTCTTCCTTTCCAGAGCCGCTGAGGACGTATCTGTCCTCTGCCGAGCACAGCGCCTTTACTGTATCGGCATGACCGACCAACTCTTTCTCCACAGTCTTCTTCTCAGCACTGATCACATAGATCTTCCCTTTGCTTTTGCCTTGTGATCTTCCACTGCTGCCAACCCAAATCTGGAGGAAACGAAACCAAACCACAATCATTTTCACTGCTTTACATTTCAGTCTAGAATACAGTGAAGGAGTAAAAACATGCCACACTGATACAGCGAGGGCTCTCTCTGGCTAGGCTGGAAAAGGGAAACACTGAAAATTTCCTATATATATCTATCTGTTGGAGTTCATGTCTCTCTCTCTCTCTCTCACTGTCCCTGATACTCCTCAGCCTACTCGCCTCCTCCCGGAGCTCTGCCACCAAGCGGAGGAGTTCCCCTACCTGGGCGCGCCCCCCACGGGGTGCTCGCTGCTGCCGCCCAGTATTGGCATGAGAGCAGGGCACAGCCTGCAGCCTGGCACCTGGGTGGCAGCGTGTTCCCACCGGAGCTCTGTCTGGGCAGCTGCGTCAGTCGTGGTGGGCGCAGAGCTTAGAGAGGCCATGGCCTTCTGCCGGGTCGAGACCATTGCTCCCTGGTCGAGCCGGCAGAGCTACAGCACCCTGCCACACCGCAGCCTGTTTGCCCACCCCGGTCACTGGCGCTCGCCAGGGGCTTCTTTTATACATGTGGGGGCTTGGCCACAGTTACTCCTGGCCCTGCCCAGCTCTCCTCAGCCACTGTCACATGAGCTGCGGGCTCCCAGCAGGTCTCCTGGCTCCCCTGAGGTTCCCCCGGTTCAGGAAACCCCTCTGTGCACCACATTAGAGCGCTCCACTGCTGATCGTGCTGGCACTGGAGCTGCTTGCCTCAGCAACTCCATTTGCCTTTGGTTCCACAGACCCAGTGCAGAGAATAAGACAGAAGGTGTCACTTTATCACTGTATAAACCACAGCATGCCCATACCTTGAGTGCTGTGTGCAGTTCTGCCCTCTGCACTGCAAGAACAGAGGAAACGCAGGGACAAGTAACTAAAACTACCAAGAGAAAGGAACCGTTGTCCTATGAGCAAAGATGGAAAAAGCCAGGACTCCTGAGGCTGGAGAGAAGGCAGCTAAGGAGGGATCACATTAAGGTTTACAAAATCACAAAAGTGCAGATAAACAGAATGTAGAACCATTGTTCAACACATGCCACAATTAGAGAAGTAAGGGACACGTGGAAACCAGGGAGAGTTCAGTTTCACTTAGAAGAAAGTACTTCTCTGTACATGGCTGGCAGTGAACTTCTGGAGCCTGCTGCTACAGGAAACTGTGGCACCAGCAAGTTTGAAACGAAATCAGATCCACAGAGACTGGGTCCCAAAATAGATAATAAAAGACTGAGGCAGAGGTGTACTCTTTAGTACCCCTAAATAAGAAGCATGGACAGCGAGGGAGTTAAGGGGAAAGGACTGCAGATACAGGCCAGGTTCACAGGCTCTCCCTACGTAGCACTGCGATGCCACCGTTAGAAGCAGAATACGGGGTCAGCTGCATCTTGTCCAACCCAGCAGAACACAGCTGTGGTCTTCTTGTGCACACTTTTGTACAGGGCGAGTGCTCACCGTTGTGTATTAGTAATGCTTGCCAGCCAGAAAGTATCCTATTTCAGATAGAGACATTATGCAATCTTAAGTGGAACAAAAGAGAGCTTAATGCCTTGGGGTTTCCAAACAATCCTCTAACTCCCATGAAACAGGGGTTAAACATATCCATCTCTACTTTGAGGACGGATATCTCAAAAGGTTTTTCCATTTCGGTTCACAAATCTAACCAAGGGCTGAATACACAGAAAGCTTCCCTATTTCATGAGGCAATTCATGCAAAAAAGTCATTTCTGAGGAAGGAAGGAGGGAAAAATCTGAGAAAAAGATTCAGCAAGTGGCTTTCCCAATAGATATATATTAGCTATTTATTTGCAAATTAACCCTAAACCTGTCCATGTGGTATCACGACTACAATCATTTGCACAGCTACTGATGCCATGCAGACAGCGCAGGTACACAGCCTGAGGCCAGTAATGACAGGGACACAAGATGCTAACGTAGGAAGCCATTGGCTCCTTTGGTCTCTACTGAGTTAGGAATGTGGTAACTAAACAAGAAACAGGTCATGTACAAAAACAGGCCAGCTAATTGGCATTTATTGTTTGTCTATTAACCTTTTCCAAGGCTTAGTCCTAGGAGCCCTGAGATTAAATATCAAGGGACGTAAACTTTCAGTTTCTACAGTTCCCTGAAAATGTCAATGGCTAATAAAAGTCACCATGCATTTAATTACTGATTACTTTTTAATTCCTTTTGGCTTGACACACATTTTGGGGTATACCTGTAACAGCCAGTTGTGTTGGGCGGTCATTAGCTTCTCTGATTTCAAAGAGGAATCAAGGTTTCAAACCAGTATGTATGCAAACACCCAGTAAGGAAGCTAACCAACGACAGCCCATGAGAGCTGCAAACAAACAAACCTTTAGTAAAGAATTCCACAACAAGCAAAAACAGTCCAAATGCCTCTCACCTGATTTTTAACTCTTATCATACAAGTAATCTCAGAGCAATCTTGAAGATGAATCTTTTGAGGTGTACTTGTAAGGTCTCTGGTGTTCCAAATATACAGGTCACTACTCCCTGAATAAGATGCCCATGCTTCGTCTCTCTAAAGCACAGAAAGAAACGTTTAACATGAGCATTGCTGACAGAAGTATATTGCGATGAGTAACTATGGCTTGTAAAGCCACGTAGTCGTGCTTCATTTAAACTCTATTAAGGGTTTAAATATAATACCTCCGGAAAGAGCTGGAAGCAGAGAAAATAGGAACACACATCCTTCAGGTGATGCTCAATTTTCATCTGTAGTTGAAATTCATAAGTAGACACAACAAGTATGCAACTTCCAGTACCTTCAATATTAAAGATAAAGAGTTAGTAACAGAAGTGTCTACTTCCTCCATCTTTATAAACAACAGAGAAAAAAGGCAAAATAAAATGGATGCATCTAACAGCTGTCTTGTTTCTCAATCAACAGTGAAATCTTTGAGGTACTTCTTCCTGGTTCTCACAGTATCTATTTTTTAGATCTGTTCTTTCTCCAAACGCTAGTTGCTATTCTGCAGTGCATACACCTGTTAGTTTGGAGTCCAAAAATGATGAGAGGAGAGGAAAGAAACTCCTTAAATTAGGACATCTCACACTTAGGTTCCTGAGTACACAATTATTTTCATCAACAGAACTGAGACCAAGTGTCTGTGCTACGAAGTTAACGGGGCTGCATCCTTACCCACCACAGCAATGGCAGCATCGCTACTGCCCACAGCAGGACCAGGAATTTCCCAAGGCTTTAGCTGCTGTTCTGTTAAGATATGTTTGGATCCAGGCTCTTGTGTATGGCAGTACTGAGAATCAGTGCAAAATTCTTGAATCGGTCACCATTCATGAAACAACTTCAAGATGATCTTTTACCCTACCACGAAGCTTTACTTCATTCATCTGAACTCCTACAGAGGGGATCACATTTCTAGAAGTGGCCAAAATGCAGGTCTGGGGATTACCAAGTCAAACCAATACCATAAAGTCTAGCTGAAATACCAAAAGCAATTTGCAACCGCTATTGCCCCTCTAAACTCTAAAAGGACTATCTTAAAGTTTTCCATTCCAATTTACAGGCATTGCCAGGAGAGGTCAGACAAATCCAGCGTAGCCAGAAGCCACATCCTGCAGCAGGGGCAATACCTCCAGGAGCGATCCAAGCCAGCCACCTATGTAAGCGTTTTGGAGGCCTTACCTACAGAAGGCTGCTTAAACAGATTAAGTGGAGAACGGGGGAAGAACATCACAGAATCATAAAATCGTTCAGGTTGGAAAAGGCCTTTAAGATCATCAAGTCCAACCGTTAACCTAGCACATGTACACGTTAAGTCTGAGTTTGAGATTAATGTATTGTTCTGTCTAATAAAACACCGTATTATGTGAAGACTTTTTTTTTTTTTTAATTATTTGAGGAATGAACTTACAGCACCACAGTTGATCATTATGAAGCTTGATAGAAGTGAGATTTTGGCAGGGCAGCTGAAAGACACGGTTAACTTTCAGAGTGCTGATGTTCCAAGCAATCACTGTTCCATCTAAACTGCTTGAGTACGCTTCGCTGTTGGTACAGATCAAAGAAATAACAACAGCAGTATAGTGTACTTCCATGTTCAGAACAGAGTGCATACACAGAAGAGACTTACTTGCAAAATAACCTATTTTACAGTAAGGCAAATTAATGTTCTTCATTTCAGAGACTGGGAGCACAGTAACTATTTCCAACAGAAAATGGACTGAAGTCCAAAAGCCTTCAAGGCCAGATACTATCATTATTTTAATAGCAAACAATTAGACTGGTTCAATTCTTTTAAACAAGGTGACCAGAGTCTTGGGCGGACAGGAACATGTCCACCCTGTGCCCACCAAGATGCCTAGGGAAGGATCTAAACTTTTTTTCTTCCCTCACTATATTCTAGGTAGCTGGCTCTAGGCAGCTGAAAGTGCATTTAAGCAACCAACAGCTCTGGGTTGCAGCCAGGCATCCACCTTTCAAGCTGCTTCGGTCTCCTATTGGAGCAAAAGTATTCTAGAACAGATGCTTTTTTCTTCTTAAGATTATACTTTACAAACTCTGTATCATCAGAAACACTGCAGGCTGATTCAGAGCTCTAAGTGAACTAGAGCACGCATTACATCATGCGGGAGTCGTTAAGCACAACAAAAACTTCTGTAATTCTCCTGAATGTTGTTGCCTCTTGGATTTTCTCTTTTTTTCTCTCAAGTGAGGACAAAAATATCTCAAAACTGTTTGTCTTTGCCACTGCACCTGAGAAAACAAATTATACCATCCCTTTTTTTTTTTTTTTTTTTTTTTTTTTTTAAACATTTGTCTTCAGATGAGAAAACCTTTTTCAGGAGGTTCCAGCAACACCCGAGCAAATTCTCCCTGAAACCCAGTTACACCTGCTGAGCCACTGGCAGAGCTATGGCTGATGTCTGGGCTGGCCTGGGAGTTGCTGCCCCCACGGGAAGAGAGCAGGTTAAGGCCTCCAGCCAACACTCTTGCCAGTGCTACCAAAAGATCAAAAGCATTTTGCCTGAACAAAACAATAAATGTATTATTTCTTTTACAAACAGGCAGAAAAAAAATCCAGAAGCATGCTGTAAAGCTACCAAAAGATCAAAAGCATTTTGCCTGAACAAAACAATAAATGTATTATTTCTTTTACAAACAGGCAGAAAAAAATCCAGAAGCATGCTGTAAACATCTAGTCGATGATGTGCTCAAAGCAAAAATTAAGTAGTCCTTAAACTGCATCTGTATCGATTCATCGCTGGATGCTGCCAATTCCTGACTGCTCCCATCCTCATCCAAAAAAGCATTCCTTTATCCTCTTTGTTCCAAAGTACATAATGCTCTTTCTTTAAAAAGGAAATTCTTAGTTTACCATATACAATATGGGAGCTAGAAAACAGGCTAAATGAAGGCTTACGTTAGCAGGATAAGCTCCCCTGTTTAAAACAATACATTCTTTCCAACATCTAGGAAAATCAGTCACTGGTTTCCTATATGGGCTCCTTTTCCTTCAGCACAAGTTAACTTTCTGCCTTTGTTTCAGTCAAATAATTCAAGCACAATACTATATCATTTGGATCTTTAACTAGTCCTCTGCTCGCTGTGGGCCAAATTCTCTAGGCTGGTGAATGCTGTTCCAGCTACATAAAATGGCTTCCTGTTCAACCACAGAAAGATTCTCCACATGTCCATGACTCTTCGGTGGTACAGACACCCTTCACATTTGCTTGTACATGTATTTTTAAGAAGAAAACATTGTAATTAAATATACCTGGGTATTCCATTCTTCATCTCCACAATGATGTCTGTAACATCAGAACGATGATCATTTAGTTGCTTATTACAAGACATACTGTGGGTGTTGATTATATAAATAATGGAGTCTTGAGAACCGATCCACACTTGACTCTGTTCTACCATGATCATACAAGTCTGGGGAGAAAAAGCAGAATTAAATAAAATCTAGAAGAAAAAAAAAAATCACTCTTTAATGTAACATGGAAAAAGGCTATACTAAGATGCTACAGTTTTTTGGTGATGACAGTAAGAGATGAAAACTGAGCGCTCCAGTATTCTATCCTTTGCTCTGCTCTATAAATAATGAGAGAGGACAGATCTTTTTGCTGAGTTTATCCTTCAGCAAATAGGATTAATAATGTATCTTGGTAACTGACTCAAAGCTGTGTTTCCTGGCCCAAACAAAGTAGAAGTTACAAAAGGCATCAGGGGAAACCCCAGAAGTTAAGTGTATTTCTCTCTTCTGGATTGGAAGCCGTCCTAACCATCTGATATAAACACACTTCCTACTTCAGTTAGAAGTGGTGTCTAAGAAAATACTGTATTTTCCTCTACTCTCTCTGGAAAGTCCTTCCCCCATTCAGAAGCTCTTCATTTCTCTCCCTCCTGAGTCCCATCTGTTCCAAACTTTCCTCCTCTTTTCTTTCTCTTCTTTAGAATAGGTCAGTATCTGACTCTTCTCCTGGATTTCCATCTTCCCTCCACCCAGGCCTTCACTATCAGCTTTACCTCTCCCTTTTTGACTCTCTCCCACACTCATCCACAGTGATGTTTCTCAGCTTTCACGCAAGTGACCTATCCAATCCCTTTTCCTGCATGTTCCTTCTACTGCGTGTTTTTCACTCAGTCTGCAGCTCTGGTTCAGCTTCCCCTTTCATTGAGAGTTATTCTTTTCAGGTGGTCTTTCACAAGCAACTCTCTTTAACCTGCTGGTTGAGTCATCTTCTTTTAGAGTGTTATCTCTCAATATCATCTACCTGGTTTCCTTACACCTTTCCCCAATTTCCAGTTCTTCAGCACAAGTGACTTTTCATCCATTCTTAGGGCTCATCTCATCTTCTCTTTATATTGATTCTTTCCATTATTCTTTCTCCTCAACTGTTTCAAACTGTCGTGGTTTAACCCCAGCTAGCAACCAAGCACCACGCAGCCGCTTGCTCACTCCCCCCGTGGTGAGATGGGGGAGAGAATCGGAAAGGTAAAAGGAAGAAAACTCATGGGTTGAGATATGAACAGTTTAATAACTGAAGTAAAATAAAATGGAACAGTTAAATAGGTAAAGCAAAAGCTGCGCATGCAAACAAAGCAGAACAAGGAATTAGTTCGCTACTTCCCATCGGCAGGCAGGTGTTCGGCCATCCCCAGGAAAGCAGGGCTCCATGACGCGGAACGGTTACTTGGGAAGACAAACGCCATCACTCCGAACGTCCCCCCCTTCCCCCTTCTTCCCCCAGTTTATATACTGAGCATGACATCATACGGTATGGAATAGCCCTTTGGCCAGTCTGGGTCAGCTGTCCTGGCTGTGCTCCCTCCCAGTCCCCAGGCACCCGGCAGAGCAGGGGAAGCTGAAAAGTCCTTGACTGGTGTAAGCACTGCTTAGCGACTACTTAGCACTACTTAGCAAGAACCAAAACATCAGTGTGTTATCGACATTGTTCTCATCCTAAACCCAAAACACAGCCCCATACCGGCTACCAAGAAGAAAATTAACTCCATCCCAGCTGAAACCAGGACACAAACCCACCTTCCTGCCCCAAGAAGCCACGCCGTTAGGCCACTAGGCCCTCCCGATATCTGATCTATCGCTTCCCACCCATTGACTTGTTTTGTTAGGAATCCATTTTCTCTCCTTTCCTTTTTTCTCATAAGTCTCCATTTCTCCAAGTTAACTGAAGCCCAGACAACTCAAGCGTCTTTCTACAGCTTTTAAGGACCGACAGTGATTCAGGGTCATACAGACTATAGCAATAAAAACACCAAGCTAAAGCAGCAATTGCGGTATGTGCGTCAGTCTTACCAGTTTAGAGCGTCCCATTCTGAAACAGTGCTGTTGAATAGACCAGGTAGATGCATCAAAGACCACCACTTTGCCCTCACTTAAAGCACACCATAGTTTCGGATGAGCGTTGCCAGGTCTTTCTGAAGGGTCAAGATGCCCTAGAAACAAAGCAGAGAAGATGAGAGAGGTAAAAGAAAATAAACCACTTTTGGAGACGTGTGGGAGAACCACTATTTGGCAGAGCAGCTTTCTAACAAAACACATCTGTGTTCTGGAACTCACATCACTAGTTAATGAATGACACAGTTTTCACAATGAATTTGTGCTCGTTCTCATCTATTTGTTGAGCTCACTTTATGGTTTAATCTTACACTTCAAAGTTATTCAGAGCAGAGAGAATCTTTTTCATTGATGACTAAGTACGTAGCTAACTGGGATTGCAGGAAGGCTTTTAAGCCCTATGAAATACAACTAATAAATCACTCGTTCTATCTGCTCCATTAGAGCTCCACTTAGAAACCTCTTCCTACAAAGAACAAAAAGCACCACTGAACCCACCACCACCCACCCACCCACATACAGTTGCTCCTGCCCACTTTCTTAACTTTGGAATTCCACTAACTTTCTTCTTTTGTCTCAAATTGCCCAAATACTAGGAATTACACGTGAACTTACATCAGAAGCTAGTAAGGTTATGAAGTTAAGAGTTAGAAATTTCCAGAATTAACATATCTGCTACCTAAATTCATGTCCATGGCACACAGTCCTTAACTTTTCTTTTTTTCCTCCAATGCTTTTTGAATTGGTCAGATATAAACGTGCCAAGTATCACACAAAAGTTCACAAGGAAATTGATAATGCTTTCTTCAGGGTTGGACTTAAATGACATGCAATGAATAGTACATTAGATCACATACTATACAGTGAGAGTTACGGGTATATAGGTCTGGCTGGGATTTCAAGAGGTGGTACGCTATTCCCTGCACTGTGGCTCAACCAAACACCCCCATGTGTCTCTACTGAAAAATAAAAAAATAACAATGAATATTGATCAATATTGGAGCATCATTCATCCACCCTGCTCAGTAAACGAAGCAGAAATCTTAAAGGGAAATTGGCACATTAGCACATAATTGAAGTCTATTATAAGGCATATACACGCAGGAAGACAAATTAAGACTGTGAAAGCTATGCCTTGGAGTATCTTAATATGCAATATTACTGTTCTTTTTTAATGATTTTCTGGTTTAGTATTCAACACACAACCAAAGCATGTCAGAATGTGAACAAAATCAGGCAGTCATAATAGCAGGTCTTATGAGATAACATGCTTTATTGGCTAATTAAAGCTGGGCTAACATAAAGAAAGCAATACATCACCTTACCTGGCGTATAAAGCAAGACATCTATTGCCTGTGGAAATGTCTCACCAGCTGAGGGGTTGATCTTGTGCTTTAATGTCTCTGAAGTTGTTTTCGGGACCATCATAGGCACTAAAATAGATTTTTAAGAGGTCATGAAGTGCACACTTAAGCCTGAAATAGATCTATAATTCTTATGAAATAATAATTCTGCACCATTTATTCACATTTCTCACTTTTCCTTCCCTCTAGCCTTGGCTGACTAGGAGAGCCCAAACACCATTTGTATGAATTTTGGCAGCAGAAGCATGCATACAACACCCAAGCAGCCTAAACAACCAAAACAAAACCACAGCAGCCAACAGGGAGACAGACATGCCAACTAAGGTTCTGATGCACAGAAGCAAAACACACCCCACCCCTAAGCTTTCTATTAATACTATTTAATGAACTACGTCCATGAAAGTGCAATCAGACTAACATCTTTTTATATTTCTACAGATAATCAGTTTGAAAACAGGAATATAAACAGAAAGAGCTGAGACAAATGATGCAACAACAGCAGGCTTTGTAGCACTGCTATGTGACCAACCTTCATTTTTCATCCTGTCAAAATAAGACAGTTTAGAGGCTGCATATATGGTTTTGGAGGACTGCAGGGCACCAACCACAGCATCCATCAGGAGAACATTTGTCAGTGCTTGCTGAATATACTGAGGATCCTAAAGACAAAAGTCTTAATGTAGTTTATCTATTGCTCGTTATTCTTACAAGTCTCTATGTTCAATAATCACCACGCATGTCACGCTTAGCACAAGCGCTAGCCAGGTGCTGCCCTGCAGCATAATTCATGCTACTTGCAGTCAAACCCCACTCGCACATCACATGTTCCGCTCGCAAGCACGGTCATGGAGCAGGGAGCCAGGAGCCAGCATTAATTCATTCCACTGAAAGAAGTATTTCAGATCTGGCACAATCTTGATACAGGATGTGCAAACGAAACCACACGAACGGCACTGATGGAAAACATACGGCAGGCACAGGATGGGTACCCATTTTCAGGCTGGATCTCTCTTCACAAGAGAAGAAAGCCAAGCTTCCTCTTGGCTAAAATGATTCAAATCCTTCCTGAAAGACCACCAAGCTACATTTTCACTAAATTCAGCAGTCATGAAGAATTATGTGGTTTAAATGGAAACCCTGCTTGTACAATCCTTTTTCTCAAGGTTTCTGTGGCAGAAGACATCTTGGTCTATTCATTGAAAGGATCTATAGCCACCAGGGTTCCAGCATGGCAAAACTCTTTCTACGCGTTATGTTTTGAAGCAAGGTGGGGAAAATTTTCTGTTAGTTCGGATCACTATTCTCATGTGTTGTGAGCTTATTAGAAGTTCCATGCCAACAGATAAGAAATAATATCCTGTATTTTTAAATGTAATCTCTCTCTTTTTTTCTTTTTTGTATTATTTTGGAAGTAGTATATTTAGAAGTAACAACAAAAATAAAAATTTATGACTTCACTATTGTTTGCTGAAACCTGGAAATTCTGAGATCGATGCACGAATTATTTAGGACAGAGACAGAAAGCACGTACTTCATACTTATTTGGTTAGAAATTCCCATATTTATACCTTGTGATCATCCGCCATTTTCTTTCCAGCCCACATTTCTTTCACTATCAGGTACCAGAGATCACACTCAGTTTTAAGGTTAGCTTCGAAGGCTTCTTTTTTGGATAATGTTTTAATCCTCAGAGTAGGTATTCTCAAAAGCAGGAAAGCTACAGTTGTGCTCTTAACATCCTAGAAGCATAGGGAAACAAAGAAAACACACCATGCAATCACAGATAAGGTGCACTACACATCCTACAGGGCAACTTTCTCTCTTCATAACTACAGCTAATGATTTCAATTGTCCATACACACTGTTAAGCAGAGATGGTTTTATGAAAATATAAGTTTCAAACAACATCATACAGACTTCATGAGACAGTGGGTACAAGCCAGCTTGCTGACCGCACAGTCAAATAAGCACACTTAATGCTCATGTCATTAAAACGTCCGTAGCTCGATATCCTGCTGTGCTTTGCACCTTTCTGTACATCTAGAGGTTATGACCCCTGGATTTTTGTTCCATGTCATCCTAGCACCTAGCAAACTGTATTACACCTGCTCTGAAATTCTTGGTCCAAAGACCCAGAATTTTATCTAATCACTCATAAGTTACGAGTTCAGAGGTGTTTCCTACACTCCTTACTGGAACTTCAAGTTGAGAGACGGATCTCTGCAGAATGGAACATGGCCTATATCCTTACGCGTGCAAGAGAACAAGAAGTTACTTGATGCTCACCTCTATATCCCTGAAAGCAGCAATCTGGACATAGCCAGGATGTCCTCCTTCAGTCAAAAGGAACAGGCGCTTTTGGGTCAGAGCTATTTTTCCTACACCATAGTTAGTTTTAACTGAGCAAGATAACTTGTAGACACATTCATTTTTATCTAGATGCTCTATTACTGTTGGTGGCAGATTCACTTCTTGAGCTTCTGCTTCAGTTTCTTTCCAGTAGTTGTAGAAATCTCTGAATGTTTCAGGATCGATTTGTTTCTGATGTCCTGAAAAATTTTTAAAAACTTGTTTACTGTGAGAAACGATAGAAAGATAGCTGCACAGAAAGATAGCTTTAGAAGATACTAACTTTCAAATTGTGCCCCTAACAGCATAATGTGTAAGCGAGGTGCAAAAACTACAGATAGGCCTGGAAGACAGTTAAGAGACAAAATCCTTCTCTTAAAGTACAAAGATTCCTCTGCAGTTAGCCTAGGCCATAGGTCCCATGCATCTGGCATCCTCCCTTCTACCCCACTGTACAGAGGGAGGGAGCAAACACTGTGCCAGTCTCGCTTTTTTAAATTCATGCCAAAAATCCAGTCAGCCAACGGGAAAGGATTTGTACTTCCCTACTGAACTGAATACTTCTCATTATGACTTTCCAGTTCTTCATTCTATTGAACGCTACTATATCACATACTTAACCAACCTGGATAAAAGCTAAAGTTATAACAGTTAAAAGACTTCAGCAACAGGTAATCTAAGTAATTAATTGTTCTAAAATTTCAAGCTTTTGGACAGCAGAATCTCAAACAAACACATTCTTGCGAGATGTACGCTACCTCTGGCTTCAGAAAGTCTTGCTATAGTCTTGCTATTTTGACTAATGTTTAATCCTTTGTGGCCACAAAATACAACAGTTACCAGAGTAACTAGGCACAGAAAGAGAACTGAGTATTTTATAAAAGCACTCTCAAACTATGTTTTTAGAAATCAATCACACGATTCAGATCTCATTCAGGAGAGAAGAAAGTCCTCTCAAATATTAACGTAACCTCTCCTTTTGCTATGATGACCATCAAAGAGGAGATTAACTGTACCTACTTGAATTCTGGATTTTGTTAGTTTATTTTTAACAGACTGCCACCCTGCCATGTTACCTAGTGGTTTTACAACACAGAACTATTTTCCATTAGCAACTAGGACAGTCTTGTATTCACTTTACCCATAATCTAAGCAAAAGGAGAACTGCACACCGTTAGATCCCAAAACTACCTCACCTACACAACCTGAAAAATTGTAAATTGTGTGCCCAAATATGAGTAGATGCCTCGTCTTTATTGTGGATGCAAGGATAGACATTCTTGTATACATTAAATGTATTCTCCATAATTATCCTAATTAAGTTGTCCATAAAGCTCACATATTGTGAGTTCTTAGAGGCCCAGAAAATGTTGAATAAAAATTATAAAAAAAAAAAACTGGAGACAAAAATTTTATTTTCGTTCATTAAAAAAAACAGTTTGAAATTGCCATTGCACCAATGTGGACGGTCACTAAAAATGTATCTTCTACTCACCTACTGTTAGGGCATCAAATAACCGATGTATAGTGTCTATATCTTTGACAATCCCAGATTCTTGGATTCGCTTCACAAAATCATCCAGTTGCATGTGTGTTTTTGGCAATTCAAAATTTTTTACGTGGTCGTCTATTTTCATAACTTCTCTTTGTTTTTCCATCACTCGACTTATGAGCTTCTTCAGCTCCGGTTTGCGGTCTGCTTGAGAACGCTCAGAAGGAGGCATAGTTTCCACTATTTTTCTTACAAGATCAGTAGGGAAAATTCTTAAGTCTGTTTTATCTAGGTTCTGAAAGTCAGAAAGTGCATTTAGTAGTTTCCCTTGCATCAAGCTAATAAGCCCCCGGAGGTAGAAGTACCTTGCCAGCAATGCTGAGTTATCAGGTGGTAAGGTATTTATAGCTTTGCTGAGATGGTTGAAGAAGTCTGTATAGTAGGAGTGAACGCACTGGAACATCAGAGGAAAGTGAATTTCTGGGATTTTGAACGTACTAACTGATTTGGAGGGCATTTTTACAGCTAAAAACAAAACAAAAAAAAAAGTACATCGATTAGTGTAAGCAGCAAGTAAAAGCATGAGTATCTTCACAACCTGCCATACTACAAACAACAAAAAGAATCCCCGTCACAGCCACAAGCAATTACATCGCATGAAATTCAAGTAAGATTACAGTTGTGCTAAGGACACAAATATACTTCTATGTCCATCATCCGTATTATCGGAATATTCCCTAATCTGATATTATAAACTCTGGGAAAGCAAAAAAAAAAAGATAAAAAGAAACAAAAGTAAAAAAGCCCACCCGTGCAGTTTTATAGGACTTGCTTTGTTAAACAGTGATAAGCCCAAGCCTACGTTTAAAGGTAGTGGAAAACCAGAAATAAGGTGGGTGAGGACTGAACATGGTTACTGACTCAGGAAGCAATTCTACAATATCAATCCTATTGTGACCCATCAGTCTTTTCTGGTACAGCAAAACTTACAGCAGGCTACAGACTGATTTTTTCCAGCATCTGACACTGTTTCTGGGAAAATTACTCAGTGATGTCACCCATAAAGAAAACAGAAAAGAGACTGTATTTGTTCAACACGTTCTTCCCTTACCAACACCTGTTTCTATTCTTCGAAGTGAGGAATTTCTAGTAGGGCCCTCTGGCAGCTTGATATCTTGCAGATTAGGCATACTGATTACCATACGCCTACTAATCATGTACTGTGGATTAAATCGTTTAGAAGCCATTTTCTCCATGGTCAGTCTTCTTGGGGTATGAAACATCAAGTTTAATCTGAGAAAAAGAAAAAAATAGAACTAGTTTTAAAATTCAGTATACATACACACTAAATTACTACTTGATTTTATTTTTTTCTGTATACTAGGACTAAATTACCCTTATAGCACCAATTTACAATTCCAACAGCCATGGCTGGACGTGTTCATATCACCCTTTTACAGTAATCTTAATAAAATGGCCTATCAATTAGTCATAATCTTATTCATAGATGACCTGATCTCATACCAATAGAGTCAAATGCACTTTTATTGTTGATATCAACAGAAGATTCAAAAACAGAATAAGGAATGAGAAAACTTTACCTGTCCTCTTCGGACTGGGTACTCAACTCAAGTCGAGCAAAAGCATCCATCTTTCTGTTCAGACGAGCTTTAAGAAAAGAGTGAAACATGTAGGTCTCTAAAACCTGTGAGACACAAACCGGTTAACTGTGGATCATTTACAAATTACATTTTTATTAGCATGTTTTGATCATTTTTATTATCCTTGCATATGCAAAGCTGAGAACTTCCAATTCAGCAATCACAAAACCAAAAATATTTGAAAGTTTCGACAACAGAAAACTAACTCAGTTTCCATTCACATTCTGTACTTTCAGGATATTTGCTTAGTGGCAACTGGTAATCTCAGACCGCTCTCCAAAACATTAAACCAAACAAAAAAGAGAAGTACCGAGAAAAACAGAGTTTTAGCTACTGAACTTTATCAGTATATTTTCTGCCTATAACTAAGTGCTGATAATATTGTCTATGGTTTGGAATAAGAAGTTTGTGGCACTCTAAATTAACATTACGTCATCAAACTGAAAAGACAAGTGAGTCATCTTTTCTCCTAGTAACGCCCAAAATTGTTCCCTGCTCAGGTAATTATCATGGTGTCATCCAGAAGTAATTTCTAAGAAGTCAAATTGCTACTTTTAGGATAGAGGACACCATAAAAAATGCCAAGTGTGAATTAAAAAAAGTAGAAAGTTACCATCTCCCACCTTTGCAAATTAAAGTAAGATGAAAGCTAGGATTTGAGGCAATACAAGATGTGTACTATATAAAAGTTAGTTCTAGCACAGGGTTTTTAGTATTGTTTGAAATAAACAATTCAGAAAATGAATCTGTTCAGAAAAATCAAATGCAAACTTCATCAGGAGACAACATTGTTATAATCAGGAATCCTGTCTGTATGTTTATACAATCTCCACCCTTTACAAACTTACTAACAGAAAGACAGTTGTATCTTTGAATGTAACCATGAAAAATTACTTTGATTAATGATATATCCCAGAGGCTTACCTAAAGTACCCTTGTTAGTCCTGGACTTTATCACAGGACAAAAAAAAAACCCCAAAAAACCCCCAAAACCACAAAAAAACCCCAAGCAACCCCAAAAACCCACTGATCAGACATCAGTGTATTTCTGCGATGTTTTTAAAAAGCAAATGAGAAAGATTCATAAGTAATCTAGGTACTCTTAAATTAATGGAAACATTTCACCAATAAATAGGTCATCCTTACTCAAGATGCCTCTTATCAATCCATTTCAAATGTATCCTGTAAAACAGCATCTACAAAAGCATTAAGATTTCTGCTTTTAAGTATTTCTCCAGTAGATGGCATATCTTGTTGGCAGTTCTGTGTACAATTCTATGACAAGCTGCAGGAACTGAAAGGGTCCTTTCTAATGGTTTTTGGAGTTCTCTTAATATAATTCTAGACACAACTAGTAACTACTCTGTATTGTGTTGTCTTCCCAGATTTACTTGAAAGCAAACGTGCCACTGTTATTTACTATTTAAGTGAGTCAACTGCTCAAAGCTCTTCTTAAATGTGCACTTCTGAATTTTAAATGAATTTTAAATTTCAATTCACAGAATTGCCACTACTTTTTTTATAGTATTAGAAACTGATAATGAAAATATTTTAATTATTTCTATTAGTTTGAAATCCTGGTCAGAACAATTCCGATTAATTTCTCTCCTGATGACGTATTAATAGGTTCTTTTTAATTTTTCCTTTTTGTTCGCTTGTTTTTAAGAATTTTTCTTAGTGTTGCAAGCTTTATCCAACAAACTTTGTTTCCTATTTAGGATTCATCAGTTTGTTATCTTTGAATTGCCAGATATTCTGCCAAGTTTGTCAACTACCGCTGAAGTAAAATGAGATATTTCTCTGATCATTTCCTTCACATGCTGACATCATTTGTTTTGACCCACAGGTTTGTTAAACAAGGTATAGTATCACCAAAAGAAGTAAAGACACAACTCTAGTATTTTACTTTTGAGAAGCTTAAATAACAGCACAACACGTCTTCCAGGAGGTTAGAAGAAGCTGCTTAATAAAGTATCTGTTAAAAACTACTATATAAATTGCATCAAAGGGTGCAAGAACCTGAGAAAGATGCCTTGCATCTCTTCAGAAATCAGGTATTCACCATAGAATCATAGAATCGTTTAGGTTGGAAAAGAGCTTTAAGATCATCAAGTCCAACCATTAACCCAGCACTGCCAAGTCCACCACTAAACCATGCCCTCAAGCACCACGTCTCCCCGTCTTTTAAATACCCGCAGGGATGGGGACTCAACCACTTCCCTGGGCAGCCTGTGCCAGTGCCTGACAGCCCTTTCAGTGAAGAAGTTTTTCCTAATATCCAACCTAAACTTCCCCTGGCGCAGCTTGAGGCTGTTTCCTCTTGTCCTGTCGCTTGTTACTGGGGAGAAGAGACCGACCCCCACCTCGCTACAACCTCCTTTCAGGGAGCTGTAGAGAGCAATAAGGTCTCCCCTCAGCCTCCTCTTCTCCAGGCTAAACAACCCCAGCTCCCTCAGCCGCTCCTCATAAGACTTGTGCTCCAGACCCTTCCCAGCTTCATTGCCCTCCTCTGGACACGCTCCAGCACCTCCATGTCCTTCTTGTAGTGAGGGGCCCAACACTGAACACAGGATTCGAGGTGTGGCCTCACCAGTGCTGAGTACAGGGGGACGATCACTTCCCTGGTCCTGCTGGCCACACCATTCCTGATACAAGCCAGGATGCTATTGGCCTTCTTTAGGATACACAAAGCCGTTACACAAAAGGCAGATTCATGCGCCAGTACTGTCTATGCTCCAGAAGAAAACAGACCTGCATCCTGCATAAAAACCTGGTTCACTGTATACACTGGGTGAAAACTGAGTCATTTTGGAGCTTCAGCAGATCAAGCTTATGCTAACGGAAGGATCAAGCTGATCAGGGCAGCTGCAGAAAGGGACTCAGGGCTTATACAGAAAAACTCCACAGCTCTACAGGGTTTCAAGCTCAGATCAGTTAGCTAAGTTAGCAGAAGGACTAAGAAAAACTAAGCGGGGATTTCAGGTTGTCCTTTAGCCTCCAGCACTATTGGGCCTGGCCCAAGGCTATGCACTATTTGAATATTACTTCATAGGCTTCACCAGCACATAAAAGTAAGCTACGGTTACATTACCAGGTAAAGCACATGTCAGGTAAATCAACCTACGTCCCGTATGCCCTGTCACACTGCAGGCCCTAAGGACACCAGTGCTACTCGTGCTCAGAGTCAGCAGCGTGCATTCGCTGTGGCGCGTTGTGGGAAACAGGCGCGTGGCCTGGAGCCAAGCAGGCATCGTCCACTCCACGCCCTGTTGCTCAGGCTGCAGATAAAACAGGTACTTTGACTTGTGTCCTTTGAGCTCCCTTCTGCTGCGCTCACTGGCTTGCTGAAAACTCATGTCTACGTATGGGCTTCGATCCAAACAGTCTGGACAGGTGCCTGTGCTTAAAATACAGTTTAGATGTAGCTTTACTGACCATCTGCCATAGGTTAATCTCACCACCGAGGAATTACAGTTAGTTTGCTCTGGAATTACATAGTACCTTGCTCTCCAAAATGCTGTCTACTGTTTTATCTGTTTATAGTAAATAAAACAAATTTGTGAAAGCATTCTGTGAAAGTTGGGGGTTCAACACCACCACACAGACCAAACTGTGACCATTCTATTACTTTTTGGCATTAATCCTAAAATACAGATGAATAACAGAGAATCACAACATATTTAACACTGAATTTACCTTTTTGTAAAATGGCTGGTCTCCAATTGCTCTTGTTTTCAGAAATTCTTCACTGTTAAACACCCTATGTTCGTAATTTAGATGGTCTTTTACCTCCCTGGAGACAAAAATAAATAAATAGATAAATACACTTGGAGATTTGTAAGCAAGTTGCACTTCTGCAGTAGCAGCAGCCCACTGGTACTACTAGAAATACGCTGCAGCATCAGAAGGCAAAATACAAACATGCTGCAGTATCAGAAGGCAAACTCGGTTCTAATGAACAAGTCTGAGTTACTGAATCATAGAAAAAGAATGCAAACTCTTGTAAGTAAGACAGGCTACCTGCTGCCACTGCCATTTCAAATCAGCAAATTCACTTAAGAGTCTGTGGGATCGATTTGAGTAACCCACAGAGGAGAATCTATATACTTATGTCATCACTTAGGCTCCAATCCTGGAATTACATTTACATACATGGTTCCTGAACCACGTACAACCCATCTGGAGCAGTAAAAAGACAAGTGCACCTATCCGCATAGGCAATTTGAAAGATGGGAACTGATCTCACACTCTCCCATTACATTGCAGCTGTAACACGCACGTGAAATATTCTAGATTACGTATTTATTTGCTGCACTCTCAAAGCCAGCAACAACTGGAAATTGTGTTAAACTAAAGAGACAGAACTATCGAAATAAAAGAGAAAACGAGAATTTAATTCTGTGAAGTCTGTGAGTAAGAAAAGATAATTATTTAAGCTAGATACGTGCAAGGAGCTAAAATCAGGGCTCCTTTTATTATTACATCTCATTTCATCTACTTATGCTGGGTATTGAGGAATAAGAAATTCTCATTAAAACATGTGAACAAAGAAAATAATTTGGTGAGCTAAAATTTGAATGTAAGCACAAAAGGGGAAGCTCATACCCATGCGTAGCCCCGACAGAAGGCCTATACATCACTTGTCTTTCATAAATCAGTGATAAAAGCCCATTACCAGTTTATCAAGCCACATGGGTTCAGAAAAAAGATGGTTAGTAAAAGCATGTAGTTCTGTAGAATTCTACATAATTTAGCATTGATTGCTTTAAACACAGAACCTCCACGCACACAAAAATACTACAGTGTTTCACTGAAGACAGTAGCAACTGGCAGCACAATTGCATCAGAGATTTACTTTCCTTCACTCCTGGACGCTGGTAGATATAGCATTAGAAGATAGAAGAAACAAGGCTGAAAAAAAGAACAAAGAAAAAGTTTGAAGGAAAGGAGAAAGAAAGCAAGAAAAGAATCAACCCCTTTGCAAAATGTATTACCTCTTAGAGAGCAAGGCATTTGTTAATTTTTTGTAGCCAAGCGTTTAGTGCATTAAAGAGTTCAAGCTGTTAGCAGCAAAATGCATTTCTCCCCGTCTTTATCTGGAACATATTGTTGCCAAACACTGAAATCCACCAAATCCCACAGTAGTAGCCCATCAGGATGTAAATGCATTTCATTTTCCTCATCCAGCCGTGCTAGCTGTAAAGCCTGTTCTACCCTGCATACCCAGCAGCTATTGTCCCCCCTGGAGGGCCCAGCCACTTGCATGAACACTCCCCAAGCTGACCCAACAAAAGCGAGCAGGTTAACAGAGACCTGATATCTAGACTATATAAATTAACCCAGCACCTTCTGACTGAAAGTGTTAGGGAGCATTTATGTGAGCAATTCGGTAGCTGATCCAAACGGGAGCAAGAGGCAGCAAGAACGAGCTGGGGAGGGTTATCTACACCACTATTTGTAGACCTCTGTCCATATAATCAGATTTTTTAGGAACATCAGGTAGGCAGTTTCATTTTCACGTTCAAGTATGTTAGTATCCATGTAAAAAGAAATGAAGCATATGCAAACCAGCCATCCATTTGCTGCACTTTTTTGTACAAATCACCTATCACACTTCCATTCCCTCCCCAAATACAAGCAAGTAACAGCAGGAGTTACAACCAGTACCCAGATAAAGCAACTGTGGGTATCAACACATTAGATTAGGTTAAGAAACAAGGAAAATTAGCATAGCTGGACCTTTTTCTAGAGGAAAAAAACCAAAACAAAACACGACCTACCCCACATCATTATTACAATGTCACTCCCAAACCACACCAAATACCCAGAAGTTCTTGTGCCAACTCTGTCCTTGAGCTGAAACAGCTCCTCTCCCTCCTTCATTCTCTTGTGGTTGCAATCTCCAGATCTCTCATCCCTTCTCAGAATTTGTACAGTTAGCCAAAACACATGCAGGTGTTCTGAACTCCCGATCCCGCTTTCAGCTCTTCTACCCTGTCCCAGTTCAAATTCATTTTTCTCTAATAGGAGTGAACGTTTCCAGTTACAAATTAATACCGCTACTGGGCCTTAAGCTTTTCCTAATTATGAAATGTGAGGACTGCACTCCTCTTCCTATAATCTTCATTCAAGAGACACAATAAGGTTCAAAATTAGAACGGTTTTATCTAAGATGTCCTAGCGATGTATATGTACCTGAATACATTAATTATTGATATTCCAGCAGGACCTCCTTCTCAATTTCCCTCAAACAACTTTATCGATATTTCATAAATCTCTTAAGTAAGACAAAATAAAGAATATTTTCAGTGACAGTGGAAGTGTCTTAACGAGTGCCATATGCTCTTATAAAAAAAAATACTATATCCACTCACCTGAAGATATTAACAATTAACTGCAAAGTTGTTTGCTGAACTTCCGTATTCAGTTTCTGTTGCCAAGCCCTTCTACGCATTTGGAGTTCACCAAGATCTGTGCTGGCTCGGAGATGGCAGAGCTCTAGATCGTAATGCAGCTGAAGACTCTCCACTCTACACAGAGAAGAAAATTATCAAGTTACATCCTAACACCAACGATTTTTTTCATACCTTTCAAAGAAAAAGTCATTTAGGCCTCACACATCTTACAGCTAGAGAAAGTGCAAGGTTGATTTGCAAGTGTTGACAAGCTAACAAGATTCCTGGAAGTCCTACTAGTACATGTAAATCACAGGGCACTCAGTCTTCTGTGTCAAGAACAGTAAAGTTCAGAGAATAATCAGTATCAGTAATAAAAAAGCAACAAGCATTCCAGGTATTGTAAAACAATATGGTTATGATTAGGACTGCTTAGAGTTACTTGTTTATTAATTAATTGAAATTTTCAATTTGCCCTTAGCAAATATAGTGTTCTTATATGAATGATATAATATAGGATAGTAACTAATAATACAAAATAAAAAAAAACTTAGAGGGTCAAGCATGATTTATGCACTAAGATAAACACAACTTCACCATCTTTTCACCTTTTTATGAAAGTTTCTGCTGCTTGTGCTGGAACATCTGGAATTTCAGGTTCCTCTTCAGCCATTTTTGAATGTGTAATATCTCCATTATCTATATTAATTAGAATTAAGTCTTCAGTTTCCTTTTAACAAAAGAACATAGAATGGCTGTAAATATACTTATGTTGTAAAAACATTTAGTTCTCCTTTATGTACTCCTCAGACAATGAATTATTTCAGCAAGAAGGTAAACCAGAAAAGGACTGGCTTTTTTTCCCCAACTAGAAGATCATATGGATAACTAAACTATTACTTTCAAGAAAAATAAAAGTCACTAAATTAATAGATATTAATCTCAGTACATAAACATATGGTAACCTAATATGTGCTTCACGTAGTATTAAATTAATCCGGGATCTCTAAGCCCATCCTTGAAAAGGTATACATTATGAAGATATGTACAAACCCATATATATGTACACAAAGAAGCTCCCGGCAAGCTTTCTCCATTCAGCATTTACTCCTGTACTTACCCTGTGGGCTAACAGGGAGAAGGAGGGTTTGTATATTAGTCTCAAACACAGAAACACATGCTAATACACAAAAGTCACATGGAGGTAAAGCACAGGCTGATCCCTCAGTTTGCAATTTTAATAAAGATCAGACTGCAACACAGTGTATATACAAGCAAACATAAAGTCTTTCAAATTATATCAAAGAAAAGCATGTTCTCTAATCTGTACTTGTTTCTGATAGTGACATCATCTTACTGCTAACTAAAATAAATATTTATCTCCTTCATTTTAACTTAATTCTTTGTTCATTTTGGACTTGCCTAAATGGACCAGTTTCACTTTGGCTTATAATAAGACAGATTAATCTAATACAAATTTACACAATTTTTCTGTGTTTGGTTTTGAACACTCACAGAAACCCTGTGTGACACCCTCAAAAAAGCATATTCACATTAGCTCTCCACTACAAAGCTGAGTTTTTCTTAAATCTTTCTGGGTAATCAAGATTAATGTTACCCACTGAGAGAGGCTTAGTTAAATAAGATTCTGAAAAAAAGAAGACAAAAAAACCCTCAGAAAAATCACAAGATTATATTCTTTACATTGCTTTTTCTTTCTTATTTTATTAAATACTTAACTCCACAATGGGGAACAGCAGCATCATTAGAGTATTTTCAAGTGCATGCTCAATTCTTAACCCAGATGCCTGGAAAAGGCACCTAATTCATCCCACACAACTCTGAGGAAAGAATAACCTCACCATTCTGAAGGGAAACTATTTATACTACACAAATGACATGTAAGTTGAATTTTTCCCCAAATGAAACTTGAACTTACAAAAATCATATTATCTTGCAAAGAAAAGAAAGGTAATAAAACAATGAGTTTTTTCCAGTAAGCCAGTGGTCACATCAGTATGGTTCCATTACTTTTCATTTCTTCACTTCTCACACACCTAAATAACAAAAGCAAGTTTCTAGATGCATCTGAAAGAAGGGGACAAATGCACGGAAAGCGAACAGCAAGAGTGGCAATTGTCTAAAACGTACCGTGCTAACTTCTTTATAATGATCAATATGACATCCCATAAGAAAAGACGTTGGGGCCATTACAAAATCCAGCATTTGCCGCGACAGAATAGGCACAAAAGTGTGTTGCCACTGAAGAGGATGAAGGTACAACATAAAGCATTCAGCCACGAGTGTCAACAGAGCCCAATCAGAAGAGAAGAAAACTATTCTCTGCTCAGTCAAAATACAGGTCATAATCTGGAAAAAACCAAAATGTTAAGTGTTCATAAAGAGTTATATCTAGAACATACTACATACGCATAAATATTTCATCTGCTTGCAAAACTCAGCCTCACAAGTTCTGTTTTCTAATAGCTACCTTAACATATTTATAAATTGAAATAACGTCCACTTCAGGATTCTTACAAAATTAAGACGAGCGGAAAACAGAAAAGGAGAGAAAATTTAATTGGCACTGAAAGTCAATGAGAGCTTTGCCACCAACGTCAATGAGGCTAGGATTTAGCTGGAATTACTGAGAAGACCTGTTGCCTTTCTTTCGCAGTATTAGGCTGTAAAATGCCTATAAAAAGTACCCAGATGAAGAATATAAGCAAACCTGTCTTTGATGATGAGCACAAAGACTATCTAGATTTTAGACATCTCAGCCAAACATCTATTCAAGACTCTAGCTAGTCACATTCCTTATAGTGCCACTGGAGAGCAGCGCTTTCACAGAGCAATTCAGGAAGCTATCTGAGATGCCCACCCTTTTCCACCGATGCAAAGGGACCCAATGGCATTTAAGCAGCAAACTCAAATGCATCAAGTTAGGTGGGATGAATTCAAGCCAAGAAGGCTAATGGCACACATGGGACATCTCACAGAGGTGCTAACGCATAAAACTCCATGCTTAAGGTGCACCAGTTGCAGAGAACCATTTTGGATTTAAAAGAGTAATACAGACTATTTCAGTTGGAAGTTTTATTCATAACGTGCACATGCGGGCAGAAGCCCACATGGGTGGAAGAATGGGCATATCCCCCCAAAAAAATAAGCCAGTGTTTCCTGCTTTTGGGACTGAGGAGGTTTACAAGCACCCCTGGAAAGAGGCCTCCAATCTGTTCTTTTTAGAGGAAGTGGCACCAACAATACTGACGACCTTGAGCAATCTGATTTAACTTCACAAGTGCTCTTTGAGCAGGGAGTTGGTTCAGGAAACCTACAAAGGATGCTCCAAACCAAAATTATTGTATGATTCTATGAAGCACTGAAAAAATTATTTGCAAATAGCTTTTTGTATTTTCCTGTCTTTCTACATCATTTACACTTTATTTATATGAGAGTGCCAACTGTTACCAATCCATCCTACAGACCCCTTTCTTACACATGAAAAGGTTCTTATGAATCTTGTAGAAAGGCATGTAATGAGAATTCAAAATAAAATCTGTCAATCTGCTTGGGTATTTATATTTTAAAATATACTCTTAAGAAATTTAGCACCTATTGCTAAACCACAGAAGAAATCCAATATGACTTAATCTAATCTGGTCTATAAATAACAAGATATCTTAATAAGAAGTATATTTTATTGTGCCATATCTCTAATATGCAGAACTAACACTGTTCTGAATTCCTGGGTTTATAATGGTTTTTGGGTAACTAAACATCTTGATTTTTTTTAAACCGCAAGTTACCAGCACTGTCAATCTAATACATTTTAAAGTATCAGTTAGTTTTACCTGCAGCACCTGTTCTGGCTTGAAACACAGCAACGGAAGATGAAGATCCAAGTCAATAATTGGACTGTCTGGATCCTCTCGTGAAGGAATTATGATTTGAAGTGGTTTCATATTAAATACCTGTAATAACAGATGTTTTCCATTTAATTCTTAATGAAAATGTTCCCACAACATATTTTATTCGGGATTTTATTTGCAACTACAAAATATTAATTGAGAGCAAGAAGACAGATATTTGCATACTACAGAAAACTGAAATAGAAAGAGAGGGAAATATTAAAAGACATAATAACTAGCTTGAAAGATTAACATGGACTTTGTCCCCTTTCATTCTCATAGCCAATAAAACTTTAAATATATATATATATAATGTATATATATTCCTTTAACAGAATTAAACTTGCTTTCTTATAAGCATAATAAAATAATGGAATTTATATTTGTAGGTACCACTGGGAAATCAAAAGTACTGATAAAATTCATACAGGAAATAGAAAAAACATGAACAAAAGAACTGAACACAGGTGCTCATGTTAAGAAGACAGAACAAGCCAAAACGAATGAGCTCTTTCAGCATTTCAAATACTCCAGCTCTAACCTCTGAGGGCAAAATCCTGCACGTGCTCCATATTTCAGCACTTAGCAGCTGGTTCAGCCAATCATTCAGACAATTTTGCAGCTATGCTATTTTTGTCTTCGCTCCTAACCCCTCATCCCAGGGTCAAGGAAAGCAGCTAAGGAGAAGTCCATGGCTGAAGTACTGCTTCCCTAGAAGCCATCTCAGTAGACAAAAGAGAAAGTGTGCTGAAATCACTGACTCCGCTAACATATACCTTGACTTGGGACGGGTTATAAAGAAGGAAATACAGCCCACACATCTCAGCTTCTACACTGCATACAAATGTTTATGCAAGCTTCTCTTCTCAGCTAGGTCTCATCCAGGCAGCAGGCAATCCACAACATTTAATCCACTACACACTGTTCTGCTTCCCCAGAGTCATTTAGACACAAGAAAAGAACAAGTCCAGAGCTGTACGTGTTGTTCCAGCAACTTACTTCTTTGGCCTCTTTTCTCTCAGAGGGACTGCATTTCACATCCACCCATCGCACAATCAAGATGACAGCCATGAGCACCCACATCAGACAGCACGTCTCGATACGAGACACAGGATAGGGAACTCCCACACTTTGGTTGAGTGATAGTTACATCATTTACGGGAGTTTATTCATGTGTATTCAATGAGATGGCAATGGCATACTGTTCAGGTGAACGTTAAGCTTCCGTTCTTATAGAGCAGTTACCGACTGGAGCTTCCAGTCGCTTCTAGTACAGACTATGTTGGCTGCCCCTCTAGAAACCGAAAGCCAGATTATGCTGTCCCCAGACCTACGCAGGCATCATCTCAGACAAATAGTTGGCATGAGCCAAATTCTTCCCAGAAGAGTATTAAAAATTAAAGAGCATGACCAACTGCTATGCCAGTGCTCAAGCCTGCACCCTGGGCGCACCATTATTTTGTGCGCTAATAATGCATAGCCTTATTTTCAAAGCACAGGTATTGACATCAGTTTTATATCAGCAAGTAACATCTCTGACCTGACAGTGAAGAATTTCCCCCAGTTTACAGAAAACAACATCTTAGTGCTTTATAAGACATAATGTTAAAGTAATTATAAAATTCAGCATCAGTAGTTACCAAGTGGAGTGGTCCTGGTGGCGGGCTGGGTATTAAAAATAATTTTGCTGCAAATTCTTTTATGTGCTCCTCAATATCTAAATCCTTGAAAGGTCGCAGTTGCACTAGTAAGCTGAAATTAAATTACAGAAGATTACTCGTAAACAGTAATACGTGAACAAAAAAAAAAAAGAGCCTTTTTGCTGATAATGTAGAACTAAAAAAAAAAAAGAAAATAGGAGCAATGAAGCTATTATTCCAGCTAATTAATTTCTAATTTATTAGATACCTTAGCGGTTCCATTTAATTTTAATGATGCTGCTGTGTCAGAAGCAGTTTTTTTTTCACTTCCATGCATAACATACTACTGCATCGTATGTATCAGAGGATGCAGATGGCACACTGGGTCCTATGATGATGGCAAAGAAAACCTAGAGGTGAGACACAGCTAAAGGAAGTGTCTTACAGAGATTGCTTGAGGAACAAAACACCCACAGCTGCAACAGTGCCATGGCGTTCCTCCCATCCCAGGCATCAGACATCAGCTCTGGGATGGAGAACAGCATCAGAGGAAAAGAGAGGTTGTAGACGTGGGCTTAACAGCAGAGGAATGTGGAGCAAGAGCCATATTTAGTGTAAGGCCTCAGCCTGCATGAACGCTGCTCTTCGCTATTGTTCCTACCCATACAAAGAATAAATACAGTTGTACAAACCTATCAAATGTTTCTATTTTAGAACTGCATTATCCTAGCTGTGTCAAAGCCACAAAGGTCATGCGGCTTATATTATATGCCAGATCAATTCATCAACATCTAAGCATACACAAGACTGCAAACCATTAAGTCCAACAGCATTTCTGAAATGTAACAATTAAGAAGTTAGATATTTGTAGTCAGAAAGGGCATTTTGTTCAATATAAGATTCACATGCATGTTTATAGCAAAAAAAAAGAAAAAAAAAAAGACTGCAAACCTTTACAAAATCAGAAATTTAAGCCTGCAAATCTATATATACAGAAACTAGGAACTTAATATGGTTATATACTCCCTTGAGGTTTTATTTCAGTTTGCAGTTTTACTGGTTTCCTGCAGAAGAATACTTGTTCTTCAGGAAGAAAGTGTTCTAGAAAGCAACTGAACAGGTCAAGAGATATATTAGAATCCAGGACATCATATCTGTGTATGGCATTTAGATTCCTGAATAAAAATATTCTATTGTATATTACTGAGCTTTTAATTGGATTAATGAGACATTTAAGTTTACTAAATTCACATTTGGAAACTGCCCTGGGCTGAGTACTAGGCTGTTACACATATTCCCAAAAAGCCCATCAGCTATTTAAGGGCACAGAGAAGGCAGGGGGAGGGGAATTTAAGAATTGTCAAAGCAAACCAGACAGTAGAGTCATCAATTTAAACAAATATGCTGTCACGCTTAGCAACACCTTAGATGTGGCCTAACAGCATAGGTAAACCCGCCTTTTGTTTGTTTGTTGGGGTTCTTGGAGACAAAAAGCACATGTCAACATATCCAGTAAATGTTACAACAGAAACAACCTGATCCCGATGCTGAAAAAGCAGCAGATGTACAGAAAGGACGGTAAGAGCTCCCTAATCAGTACGCTGTGCCCATTAATGCAACGTAATAGCAGCTGACAGCTCTGCACTGCAAACGTCTGCTGGAATAAAGGAAGTAATCTCTGAAACATTAAAGCGGAGAGCTAAGGAGTTTATCAACCTTCCATTACCTCTATTAACTGTCCACAGACAGAGCTTTCAGAAAGCAAGAACATCTAAGAATAGGTCCTTTGTACTGCCTCGATGCTGTGTGCTATTTGCACGCTTCCACCTTTTCTCAAGGCGGCTGAAAGGACTAGTACACAGGTTGGAAGATTTACTGTCTGAATGGAGCCCATTCATCCATCCAAGGCGGGAGTTCATCCAGAAGGAGATGACTGCCAGGAATATTTCACTTTTCATGTAGTGTAACAGATGATTGAAATAAAACTACCTGTGCAAAGTGCCAAAACCTCTCAATTTAAAACTGAACCTTTTCAAATAATGGCATAGAATAATCCAACAGTCGCAGTGTTGTGAAACGGTCTAGACACACATCCGCTTGCTTTGGAGAGAGGCGGACACGCTCCATTCAAATTATTCTGGATTTGGAAGCACTGAATGCTAGCAATATGTGAGTTAGTTATAAAATTAATTATACAGAATATGAAGACCTTCATTAGTATGATGAAAGTTTGCAAGTTCGCCTTGCAGATCAAAGCACCTGCATGGATTTATAGTTTGAAGTTGCCTTTGTATCTCAGTTTTTGGTTGTAATTTCTACTATACTCTGCCCTTTGAAAAAGTTTAGGAACGGAGGTTTTATCTGGGAATGCTTATGATAATAAAATACTTTTGAGGACTCTTCTGAATGAAAACAAGTACCACCCCACCTATAAGCAATCCTGTGCACTGCAGGTCCTGGAGAAAATAAGCTCTGCACAGCAGAATTCTGGAGGAAAATTAAATCTTTTGTTGCAAAAAAGTCCTGGATGGAAGCAGGACCCCTTTAGATGCTACTTCCAACACCCAGCCTTCAGTAGCAATAACAAGTAGTATTTTTTCACTAGTTCTCACAAGGAAAGGGCTATGCACTAGAAAGAGGTGGTCTGAGGTCCACCAGCAAGTGTTTTCAAATCCCCAGACTCGCAGAATGACTCATCAGTTGAAGCATCCTGCAAATCGCCACTGAAGCATACCAAGGATACAAGCCCACTGTTGAACATGTTATTATTTGTTGAGTATAGCAGGCACTACTACTTGAGTACACTCGGTCAACGAAAACATTTCATTAAATTTTTAACCCATTGGCCACCTGACTACAGCTATGGCATCTGAATCGAAAATCAACTCCCTTTCTGGTTTACAGGAAAACAATGTCAATGTTCCGTAACCTTACAAAAAGCTGAAACATCCTTAGCTGTACAGCTGCTCAAAATGTATCGTTGAGGTCTTTACTGTAATTGCTTATATTCCATTCAGAACAGCCACACATCTCAGCAGCTGTTTCATGCCATATGGAAAAATTTCAGTAACACAGCCAAAATGAGGAGAAACGGTACCTCTCCACCCCTTCCCTTCCTCCCACTCAAGTGCACTCTGACATAGTAAAATATTTTTTCTAAAAAAAAAAAAAAAAAAAAAAAACCCCCCACAAAACAAAACAAAAAAACCACGGAAAGGCAGACATTCTGAAATTATCTATCAAATAATATCATGGAAAATACATGGTGATCATGAGATTTTTAGAAGAAAAAAATCCAGAAGAAAATATCATGGAAACTTAATCAGTCAAGTTTCCAGTACAGCAGGAAACGCCAGCACCAAATGCAGCTTTGTCACTTGCATTCCCCCTCTCCTGCCAGTTACACACGCTTGCATCTTACACCCAGATGCAGCAACAAAAAGGAGCAAGAAGAGCTGTGCAACTATACGACAAATTCCCCTGTTAAATGACCAGGACAACACACAGTACTACCGTGGAAGGCTATTGTCGTGTTGACAACTCCCCTATAATTATTCACATATTTACAAATCACTTAAAGCTTAGATGGTATGTCACTGATAAATCTGAACTCCGCTTAGAAACCAGTACAGACTCAGCTTAAAGGGAAAAGCCATCCATAGTAGTTAGCTTGGACATTAATGCTTTAAATAGGTGCAAAAATATATATCAAGGCAGAGATGTTCAATTATAATGTTTAAAATACCCACCCAGAGGCAGAAGTTTGCATCTCTACAGAGTTAACTCCACCTGGTTCCTGTCTGCTCTAAACAAATATGAAACCTGGAAATGTTTTTGTTACTTCTGGAATTTTCCATGGTTTTCATGAACATTTTCCCCTCTTCTCCCTTAGTGAGCTATTTAAAAATCTGTTCGCAAATTGACTGCTTCTCCCAGCTCAGAGATGTCTCACTTCAGAGAAGAGATTACTCATTTATGAATACACTTACAAACCACTGATGAACACCACAACTGTAAAGCTGAATCTATACTATTTCCCACCCAGCGGACAGCTAGTGTGTAATGAGCCTTCATCCCGGCTGAGTTCACAGTATAGAAGAAGCATGAATGCTATTATAAAGACTGGATATAAACAGTAAAGCACCGCAGCGCAGGTATATAGCTGTTAAGAGTGACATATGCAGAGTAGCGTTTACTTGAGATTTGAGACTATAAAAAGGCAGCTATGAATCAGCTCCTGCAATACCAACAGCTGATGTAATTGACTTAAACATAAGGAATGGAAAAAGTGATCTGGGCAGGAAAGGAGAAAGGGAAACAGACATTTCCTTTTTATTTTACTGATTATCTCAATTTCGCACTAACCTGTGAATACCTAGCTATGAGGAAAGGCTGAGGGAACTGGGGTTGTTCAGCCTGGAGAAGAGAAGGCTGCGGGGAGACCTTATTGCAGCCTTCCAGTACTTAAAGGGGGCCTACAAGAAAGATGGGGACAGACTTTTTAGCAGGGCCAGTCGCGATAGGACAAGGGGTAATGGTTTTAAACTAAAAGAGGGTAGATTCAGACTAGATAGAAGGAAGGCATTTTTTACAATGAGGGTGGTGAAATACTGGAATGGGTTGCCCAGAGAGGCGGTGGATGCCCCATCCTTGGAAACATTCAAGGTCAGGTTGGACGGGGCTCTGAGCAACCTGATCTAGTTGAAGATGTCCCTGCTCATCGCAGGGGGGTTGGACCAGATGACCTCTAAAGGTCCCTTCCATCCCAAAGCATTCTATGATTATGTTGAAGTCCCTTGTCCACATGAAACCCCGTTACTCATGCTTTGAAAATGACAGAGCAGAGGTAGCATGAACAGCATCAGTGATGTGTTTGCTCATAGTTAAGGGCTGCCAGAGTGACTCATTTCTGATATCACAGCTTTTTTGGAGGCAACATCTGAACTGCCCAAGAGGAAGGCACTGCTTTGTTCCTCCAGGGCTCCCTCTTCATCGAAGCCAGGGAAAGCCAGTCAGTGCTCCAACCAGATCCAAGCTCACAGCATTAGGAAGAAGAGGTGCATGGGGTGGGGAAATGACTGCTCAAGTCTCATCCTGGCCCGGAGGCAGGTTAGGAGCTAGTGATGCACCTCAGCTAGCACCCAGGAAGCACAGCCTTGCTTGCTCATCTGCTCAGCATACCAACCGCCAGCAGAACAAACTGGAAGATTCAAGCTCTGACCTACAACCCTAACATCTTTCAACTTATGTATGAGAAGCAAATACCTGCAAACGGAAAATACCTGACTTCAAATTTGACTCTAGAAAGCTTGACTGGAATTTAGTGGGGAAAAAAAAAAACCAAAAAACAAACTCTTCTACTTGTGGACTACAAGTCTGCAAGTGAAGATTACCCAGTAACGTCTAATGTACAGAGACGGGCTCCCTGACGCAAGGCATTTTTAATCCACTTCAGAATAGAAGCACATAGATTTTAATAATTCAACAATAAAGCAACACACAACCTCAAAATAAATTAAATTACTAAATAACAAGACAGGCCTATGTTCACCTCTCTTTTAATTTATCTGCACTGTGGAGTATTTGAGTGTTTCTAACCAGTGAAGTATTCTGCATCCTAAGATTTTTCTCTCCTAGTTCTATGACAGCCGAGTAACCACTGTACTCCCTCAAGTGACTTGGATTATTTAGTTAAAGAATAAAGTGTTATTAACTGCTTATTAATACATATATTCATGTTCTTATGACATTTATTTGGTGCATTATAAAGAGGTCTTTGTGCTTTCAAAAGTGATTTTTACCAGCGTGGCAAAATTACAGTTAACCCTCTTCCAAACAACCAAAATCTGAGAAATCTGTTTCCTGTAAATTAGTATTTTCTAGACTTACCAAAAACCTCAAAGAAAACAAAGACAACATCATACCTAATTTCCTTGATATTTAGGACTTGCATTTACTGTCTGGGTAACATTCACATTACATTTCTTCTTTTCCTCTCCCACACATCTCACACTACTGTAACTTAAAACTAACGCCAGTTTTAGCATTATGCAGCTACCCTGACCACATCGTGCAAATTCACGTATTAAAACCTACACAGTTATTTCCAGAAGAAACACACAGGATAGCAAGTCTTACCAAGAGAGACAATCCTTGAGGGCATTAAAATACGGATATCTGGATATAACACAAATAGCAAGCGGTACAAAACAGACAGGCATCTTCCCAGTCTGCGCAGATTCCCAATGGGCCTGCCCATTCGAGGAAATACAGCCATCCTGCAAGAAAACTACAGATTAGTGTGTTTATGTTAATCATGAACTTATGGCTGATATTTTCTTGAGAACACTAGAGATACGATACCCAGTTCCCTCTAAATTTCAAGGGGATTTGGGTGCCTATCTCCCTGAAGCTCTTCAGAAAAATGTCAGCCTCCAAGACTTAGATATACGTATTAAAAAGAATTTCAGTGCAAAAGATATTTACAAAAAGAGAACAGGGTACAATCTTCACCAAACAAAATGCCCGAGGGACAAAGTCTGCTCCTAAATATTCAAAACTCCTAAATGAAATCCATAACTGTTTTTCCTAATGCAATGCTGTTCCAAGGTACTTCATTTACAATGGCAATATAAAATATGATTTGTTCTGTATTCCTACTAACATAAAAACATATCTTGTAACTAATTTCATAAGTTAAACCTGACATTATTCTCAAAGTGTTTTGTTTTATTTTACATCTTTTAATATGTTTTAATAAAAGCATGAGTTAAATAACATACTTGCATGGGCTGGTAGTACTGTGCAACAACACCGTATGTTCTGTTACCACAGACATCTGTGAAGACCAGGAAATGAATGTGGTCCTCTTTTGATTCAGAAGTTATATAAAGTCCTCCTGCAATGAAGATAGAAACCTTTTTTTTTTAACTACATATTTAACTACAGAGGCTTCAAAAGCGATTCATGACAAATACTGCACATTTCCACTTAATTTCAAGAGAAATGTCTCATTTTAAGGGATTAAAATGCACATATGCAATCCATTTGGTCTAAGGGTTGTTACAAAGGCTGTAAGCTTTCTGAAGAAGCAAAAATATTATATAATTATTCTGCATTTTAAGTGGCAAAATACAATAGATGGGTTTTGTTCACTTTTTTTTTCCTTTCAAGATATTTATAAGGCCTGCAATAGTGACATGCATATTAAAATTTCTGCAATTAAACCTGGAGGAAACAGTCACTACATCAGGTGTATCTTAATACCAATTGAAAGGTCAAAGAGTACTTAGTCATTTTGGGGGGAAAAAAAAGATTTAAAAGTGTGTGCGTGTGCACTTCACTCAAACCAAGATTTACCAATAAGGGCTAAAGCGACTTTCGGCTTCCCTCTCTTGCAGGTGTTGCAGCTACTATTGCTAATAGATCTGTTTCACACAACGTAGCCATACAGGGTAAGGGCACCCCATTCATGCAACAGCTGCTTTTATCACTGACCTGCTCACAAGCAGACACATTTCTTTATACTTTGAAATACAAAGAGATAGAGAAGATGAGCATAAAAAAAAAAAAAAAAAGCTGTAGTATGGGTCAACAAATATATATTAAAACAGTTCTCCTTAAGAACTGTGAACCCTGCCATACCTGGGAAGCATAGCTGTGGCAAACCAATAAGATCAATGTCCTTTGGAACTGTAATATCTTCAGTGTCAGATGCTTTCTGCTCCCCATTGAGACTCTTGACATTTTCAATCTTTGGTCTCTCTTTCTTCTTTCGGAAAGACCGGCGTTTACTTTTATTCAAGTTATTACCACTTGTATTAGTCACCTGAATATCATCTCTGCTGATAAATGGAGGCACAAATACAGAAAGAACTTCTGGATCCAGGGGAGGAAGACTTTTGGGTTTTCTTTGAGTACCCTATTAAAAAAAAAAAAAACAAAAACAACACACCAAAAATAAAAAATACAAACAATGCTAAGTTGACATTAATCCTGAAAGTTTTTTTTAAACTATTTTTTAGCCCTGTTTTCTCTTTACCCCTAAAACTGTGGGTATAGAATACATTTTTTCTTCTTCCTGAATAATTAGTTTTTCCTTCTAATCTCTTGCTTTACATGTATTAATGCATGTAGTAAAGGGGAATACTCTGGGCATTTTCAGCAGGCAAAGAATCATTCTTCATTCAAAAGGCACCATATCAATACTATGCCGCTGGCATAAGAAAACTAATAAATATCAAATACGGTATTTCGTCCTTTTCAAGTGTTAGGATACACTTCTAAGCTCTACTTAAAATAAACACCGGTAGTAAGAGAAACCAGGCAACAAATAAATGCAAACAAAGAAAACAGCTGAATTCCCTAGATAAGTCTTTGTTCAACTTTAAGAAAAGCTATGTTTTTCCTCTACAGAGGAAAAAAAAACCAAACAACCCACCCACACAAGCTTTCACAAGACAACTTTTAACTTTATAAGGCAATTAAGAGCATACAATTAAAAATGACAATCACTGTTACAATAAACACAATTTTAAGACATTGTACAACATGAAGCCATGAAAATTTCTCTGTATACTGATGACTAAGTGGGACAGGCATCCCAAGAGCAGGTATGAAATTACATTTTCTAGTAGGCAGCTTTGTAAAGTGCTACTGCACTGAAAGCCCTTGCTGCCTTGCTATGAAAAACCTGTGGAGGAAGTGATCAGGAGATTTCCTTGTACTTGGGAGCACTTTTTCTATTCTTGACCATATAATAGAGACAAGTAGCTGTATTTTCAATTACTTCACTGCAATTTTAATTCTTCTTGCAAGGTCAAAAGAGCAAGTAAAAGCTTTGTTTAGTCAATGGATATTTGGAAACAGGAAAGGTAAGCCTCACTGCGGCTAAAAAGCTGTTTCGTTTTCAACTTTTTGCTAACTGATTCAAAGATAGATGAAGCATACATGCTGCTTTTACCTTCAGACATGATGCATCAGTATTACTTGTATTTAAGTTATTCCTTGAGAACCAACGCTGGCCTCTCTCACCGTTTCCCTACTTTTTAAAATAGCTACAACATACAAAACTATTGCTTCACTGAAGCCAATCTTCCACCATCCAAGTTTTGGAACAGAAAGTCTCAGCTTATTTGTCTTAGTAGACGAGCCCACCAGTGGTGGTCTTCACATTTGAGCATCATAGGAAAAATGAGAAGGCATACTTACTTTCATGATGTATTAGTTACTATACCTTAAGCTCGACCATATTCTATAATAGGATATTTGAAAGAAAATACTTCAATAAAAATAAGAAGTGAAAAAACACTCTTTTAATGAACACACTGAGTCTGAACTAGAAAGAAATTAGAGTGGAAAAGATAAAAGTTCAGATAAGTATCCACTGGGATATTCAAAGGACAGCAATGACTTTTAAAAGCACGTTACAAATTGGGATACCGAGTGCCATACCCTGCCACGCTAAAAACTTCAAGTGTCATTTTCCTTAGTTGGCAGCTGACATCCATTTCAAGTGAAGAAACTGGAAACACAGATAAATCCAACATGATCACTCTCAAAATAACATGCAGCTAAACATTTCGGAAGGAAATTAAGAATTAAGGCTCAGCCCTGAGGCTGTCATGCAAGAAAAACACAGACCTACTCAAACACTAGCAATCTCAACTTGGCAGATTTGCCCTGCAGAGGTTTTCATACAAAGTTGCTTTGACAGGGCAATCCCTGACTTACATTGAAGGCATCTCTGTGCTACAAAGTGCTGGATGACAGCCAGCGATTTAATAGCCTCACAGTGTAACAGCTTCTAAAATGGCAGGTCCTTGATGTCTTGAACTACAACAGAGGCATTAAACACCATTTTTTTTTTCCACAGAACAGCACTGTCAGCACTGTCACTGACCCAGTGACTCAGTTGTCAGCATTCAAGTCAGCTCATATTAATGTCTATGGCCAAAGTCATATTTTCTTACCCTTTCAGTTCAGTAATAGTGAATAGGCAGCAACAGAACAATATTCACTTGTTTCTACTATTCTTTGAACACTTTATATTCTCTGCTTCTACTGTTACTGCTTCATTTTGAAATGCTTCTCTTTTGTCGCTGTTTACTATCAAATGTCCTTGCATCATACATAGCTTCTTATAAACACTAATGCCTTTTCTTTCCTGTAATTCTGCAAGATTCCAGAAGTCAGGGATTATATTCCAACGCCATTTACCGATGATGTTCCTGTAACAATGGTGCCATTTAGGACATGGATAAGAGACAGACTTTTTACAATGAACATGCTAGTTTAGACACAAACAAGAAGTAGTGTGTTGAAACCACAGATCGGAGTGTGATCTCTGCTATTTGGAGTTTCCTTGATCTTGTTCTCCTCTTCCCATCACCGAAGAATTTAATTTCATTTTGAATGTCATGAAATAACTGGCTACTTTAAGGAATAATTGGGCAGGGAAAAGCATGAAGCCTTAGAAAAATCAGGTTGGAAGGGACCTCTGGAGGTTCTAGTGCAAGCCTTTGCTCAAAGCAATGATCACTTTGAAGTTATATCAGGTTGCTCTAGATCTCATCCAGCCAAGTTTCAGAAATCCCTTAGGAAGGAGATTTCCCCCCTTGTGCTCCAGCCCTCGTATAGCTTAGCTTCTTCTGGTCTCACTCCCGTTTGTCAGCGGTTCTCCGGTATCAAGGTACCCAAATCTGGGACAGTATTCCAGATGTGACTTCAAGAGTGTGGAGTAATAACAATAGCAGTAACGATCCCTTCCCTTCGCCTGTGAGCTATGGTCCTGATGATGCAGACCATTACACAGTTACTTTTCACTGCCACAAGCACACGCTGCTGACTAATGCTCAACGATCACACCTCATTTCTTTTGCACAACTTGACACCCACGGGGGTATTACAGAAGGAGGAAACAATGGGTTTGGTGGTTATGTCTGCGTTAGCAGGGCCAGAAAGCATAATGCAGGCACTGTAAGAGACAAGATCTGTATCACTGACTGTGGTAGGTAGATACAGAACCCAACGATGGAGCCGACAGGAAGATCTGAGACCTCTCGCAGACAGCTTGCACGCCACACTTGCCATATCAAAACCCAGCTTTAGAGATGAAGATAACGTGGGGTAAAGAAGTCTTATCAAAGATGGCTGTAGGATCTTCACTATTGTACATCTTATTCCTAACAAAATACACTAAAAAAAGTTATCTCTAACTGAAAATAGCAGCCTTTCATCTCTTCAAATGGAAATCTTACAGTGATAATTATCTTGGCAGTAAGGACAACTGATGGATGACAGCACAGAAACTTCAGTTTCATGAGCTTCAGTGAAAAACTGTATCTTTTTTCTTGGAATCCCCATCGACGACAGGTAAGTCATATAACACTTTTCTTACTTTGGGAGTGGGTTGCGTCATGTTCCCGCTGACTATCGACTTTATTAGTCCATACTGCAATAAAGTTAAGAATGCACAAACACATTTCAAGACCAAGATTTGAAGCACTATCAAGATTTTTATCCTATTGTTTCATCTGTAAATATCATCAGAGGACCACTACTTTCTGTTGAAGTGTTCTTATTTTCTGTCAATAAGGTCTCTTCTTTCTACATTCACTGAAATTAAACACAAAACATATTCCACCATTTCCTCATGTAGAGAGTACCACAGAAGGAAAAGGAAGCGGAGTAAATCTATAAACTTTCCCTGAGTTCTGAATTGCCCAGTGATTGAAATCCCTGTGGTGCAACCGCTTGCAGGGATGTTACTACAGTTAATATTGACAAGCGTAGGAACTACTTTCCTTTCTGACACTCCATTTTATACCTTGAGCAAAGAAACAATTCAAAACCTGTAGTGTGATCGGAATGGCCTCTACTTTTTGTAGCCAATTTCATATTTGTTGTTCTACAGGTTTTTTGGATGCAACGAGATCAAACTGAGCAGACTGGAATGAAAAAGAAATTCCCCTTCTTTTGGGTTTACTTCTCATGCAGATGCTGAAACCACACATACACACTGATTTCAAAAGTCTGGTGGTGAGATTTATGGCACAACTATTTCCCCAATTTGAATGTATACATAAATGAGATCCTGGAATTTGAACCTCTGCTTAGCTGGTATCACGTAAGAAGCTGACATCAGCAAAAGCCGTCTCCTGAGTGAGTGAGCAGCAACAAGTTTAACAAAGATTTCTTTATCTAATGCTATTAGAACACACAATCAAATTCAAGTTGAAGCAAGACAACCGAGATCCCTGGGAGCAGCCCGGCTTTTCAGCACGTGCTGGCCCCACAGCTACTCCCACAGTGGGGCGGCTCATAGGTACCTAACAAAACCATCGGTACGTTTTAACAAAGCAAAATCAGGAAGAGGCGTTTAGTTGTTAACTCACACGTGAAGTGGCTATAGTCATAAACAAATTACAAACCACATATTCAAAGCAGAAACCAACCCATCAACTTCTGCCGTATCTGAATTGCTCCGGCTGTGCCAAATTCAGAGCACTGAGCTCAGAGGGATTTAGACCTCGATACAAGTTACCTGGCTTTATTCCCCTATCTTTAGCTTTTATCCCCAACAGAAGACGGGAACTGGGATATCATCCAGGAAAGGACATGCACTGTTCAAGCATTTTGCTGTTCCTGCGTATATAAAGCTACACTGCAGTCTTCATCTACACTCAGACCTTTGAAAAAGTGTAATTATTTACCACCACTCCTAAACTATCCCTACTTTGTTGATGACCGCCTGTCAAAACAAGCTTTCTTTAAAGCATTTCAGCTCTATCCAATGATAACAGCAACAAGGCAACCCTTGTTTTACTCAAGTCCGTACTGGGAAGAGAGAGGCCCGGCCAGGGAGGAGCTGACCCGGTTACACCTCCGAGCAGAGAGCCGCCCTGACAGAAGCTGCCCCACAGACCAGCCGGGGCACCCGGCCGGCGGGCCCCGCCGAGCCTGCCCGCCCCGAACCCCCTCTCACCTGGAGGAGCGCTCTCACCCTCTCCCTGGGCACACCGACCAGCAGGCAGATCTCCAGCAGGCCCGAGGGCAGCACGTCCTCCATGGCACGGCGGGGCAGGGCAGGGCAGGGCCGGGCCGGCCGGCCCAGCCGGCGGCGGCAGCGGCGACTCCTTCCCGCAAGGCCGCTGAGCCCCTCCCCGCGGGCCGGACCGGGCTTGGGCGGTGCGGGGGGAGAGCGCCCGCTCCCTCACACAGCCCTCCCCGCCCCTCACCGTAACGCGCGCTCTGATTGCGGGCGCGGGAGCTGAGGGGCGGAGGGCGCTCGCGCCCCAGCGGCCCGCGGCGGCCGGCGGTTGCTGTCGGTCCCCTTCTCCTCTCCTCCCCTCCCCTCCCCTCCCCTCCCTGCCCCGCCGGGAGAGCCCCCGGAGAAGACGCTTCCCGACCCAAAGGGAAGTTCATTTTTCTCGCGGGTTGATTTCCCGGTGGGGCCGTTGGCCCAGAGAGGCTGAGGTGCCTCAGGGCTGCCCGCCGCCGGCGCTTCAGAGAGGTGGGTGTTTATCGTGGGTCATAGTTTCAGTAAGCACAGAGCTGAATGCAAACTGCGTGGTGCTTTCACCTGCGGAGCAGCAGCGCTCTTCGTGGAGCTGCCTGAGCAGCAGAGAAACAACCTAGGAGACTCCGGGATTTCTTTTTGAGCTGTTTTATCTAAATAGACAGTGAGTCACTGTGTATGTATTGGCCCTGTGTAGATCTTCACTGAGAGAAATGTGTTTCCTCTGGGACTGGTGCATAAAGTACGCGAAACTGTAGAGAGCAGTTTCTCTGAAACTGAAGGTATGAGACACGGTTTCATCACAGCCACAAACTTTTTTTGCGGTCTAGCGTTCGCGTATTGTAAATGCAAAAAATCCCAGTATAAATGGCTCCAGGCTATCACGAGTTTGTTATCAGCCCGGGGTTCAGAACAGACTTCTTCAAAAAGTACAAAGATCGTTGGAAACACCAGGTGTGGTCTTCTCAGGGATTTTTATTATCTGAACTTTTGTGGTATTAAAGCTTCAGATTATTTGGCCTCCGGTGTTCTCAAACTTAGAGGAAGTCATGAACGCAGAACATAGGAAACTATGTTTGTATAGCACTGACTAAAAGAAGGAAATTCTTGAAAACCTGGAAGTTCAGGGATCACTTCTTCAAAGGGATAGAAGAAGATCACGGGCTCAAAGATTTATGTTAATAAACTTTAAGGTCATAAGAGATTGTTAAAATCATCTTCTTTAGCTTGTGTAGCCCAGGTCACCGAATCAGAGTGATTCCTGTATTAAATTTGTAACTTCTGGCTGACACCATGAGTTCCTGCAATAGGGATCACTAACAGTCACTGTTAAAAGTTAGGCATCTCATTTTTAGTTTCGTTGTTTAGCTTAGCTTTTTGCCACTGCATCATGTTACGGTTTGCCTGCTGTTTGAACAGATTCTTTACTACGAAGAGATTTCTCCTTGCAGAGCTCAAGATTATTAATCTCAATTTGTTTTTAAGAGATTATACAGTTTACACTTTTTAAATTTCTTTCCTAATCACTTGTGTGCATCTTTTCTCAACCTTTTCAATTTTTTCTGATATTCTTTTTGAATTATGAACACAAAAAATAAGCTTTACTATTGCTGAATATACAGTGGTAAGTCACATTGCTATTTCTAACTGATATCCCCGCCTAATTAAAACAGAGAAAGACTAATATATGAATCATTCAAAAAGGGTGTAATGTTTAATTGGTTCTCCACTGTAACCCTGTACGGTTTACTTAGGGTTATTACTTCCAACATGACAGTCCTACATCTTACATTCATTGACCGATGACTATGACCTAGCATTTGACCACATTAAAAGAAAATTACAAATGAACCAAGGCTGTTAAGCAATCCAGGTCACCCTGTAGTTAATTAATCTGTATCATTATTAGTTTCTGATTTCTCTGCTATCTGCAATGATAAATACTGGATGATTCTTGTTCATAATTAATGTAGCCCTCAAAGCAAGGATACGGTGAAGTTATTATCAAAACAGGACTACAAGATGAAAGGTACTAATGTGAATCTGATAAAATCTCGAGAATTCTGGAAGTAGGAAACCTGTTATGTGGGGTCACTGGTAAGAGGCAAAATAATTCTTATAGAGAAGAATCCCCCTGTGCTACAAAAAGACTCATGTAGTTAAATCAGTTTTTTCCTAAGAAAAATTGTCAACTGAGGAAGAAATGCCAGCTTTTATTATGTGTTTTCTTTTTGTAAGATCACAAATACAGTAAATGTTTGTTTGTTAACTCTGATGCGGTACTCGGCTGCTTAGAGCTGTATGCAGAAACAACTGCTGATCTTCATATAACGTCAACATGGGTAAGGTTTTATTAGGATCTGAGGGCCATATCTGAATAATTAAAGATTCCCTTGATGTAGAAATCTAATTCAGCTTTCAATAACAGTGATTATGTTTTAGCTAGACTGCCTCTGTTAAGAGGAGAAAATAATTTTACAAGTCTTGTGTTTCTTTGATGCGATCTTCCTTATAAAATATAACATACCCAATCAGATGAGAAGCCTTGAGCTGGCTCTAGCTTTAACAAGGCCACCCTCAAAATCCTGTACTCATTGGTGACATAGTACAGCCTTCCATGTTCAGCCTTACATTTGAAATACCTTCCAAAATCATCTCCAAACTTCTACCCTCACGACTTTCAAATTACTGCTGTAAATTAGGAACTGTGAATGGGATTTGTCTGACGATCATGCTGTAGACTGCATGGAAATGGTTGAGTTGCTCACCATCAACCCTGAAGGGAGCTCTGAGTGACTCATTGAGTTGTAGATGCCTATACTGCGAACACCTCCGTCTTGAGGGATATGGGCAAACTTTCAGTTGTTTAAAGAATTAGTGAATGGGGCCTCCTGGGATACTGCTCTCAAGGAGCCGAGAAGAGCTGGCAGCTCTTTAAGGCCATTATTCTTAAGAGTGCAAGAGCTAGCTCTCAATTCCCATGTGTGAGAAATCAAGCAAGGAAGGCAGGAGACCGGCATGGCTCAGTAAGGACCTCCTGATCCAACTAAAGTGTAAGAAGGAAGTGCACAAGCCGTGGCAGAAGGGACATGTATCCTGGGAAGAATATAGGGATGCTACCCGGATGTGTAGGGATGGGATCAGGAAAGTTAAAAGCACAGTTGGAGCTGAATCTGTCAAGGGATGCCAAGAATTAAAAGGGCTTCTACAGGTATGTTGGCCAAAACCAGAAGATTAAAGAAAAAGTGGGCACACACCTACACACGCCTCCAGATAAATAAGACAGGAGAACTAGTTAAAACCAACATGGAGAAGGCTGGGGCACTCAACAATTTTTTTGCCTCAGTTTTCAACGGTAATCTTTCTTCCTACATCTCTCAAGCACCTGAACCTCAAGGCAGGGACTGGGGGAATGAAATCACTCCCATTGTAAGTGAAGATTGGGTTCAAGACCACCTGAGGAATCTGCACATACCTAAGTCCATGGGACCCGATGAGATGCATCCCAGGGTCCTGGGGGAATAGGCTGATGTAGGTGCCAAACCACTCTCCATCATATTTGAAAAGTCATGGCAGTTAGGTGAAGTCCCCAATCACTGGAAAAGAGAAACATCATGCCCATTTTTAAAAGGCAGGACCCTGGGAACTACCAACCTAGTCAGCCTCACCTCTGTGCCCAGTAAGATCAAGGAGCAGATCCTCCTGGAACACATGTCGAAACATAGGGAAGACAGGGAGGTGATTAGAGACAGCCACCGTGGCTTCACCAAGGGCAAATTGTGCCTAACTAATCTGGTGACCACCTACGACGGAGTGGCTGCATCAGCGAACAAGGGAAGAGCTACGGGTGTCATCTACCTGGACTTCTGTGAGGCCTTTGATATGGTCCCATGCAACATTCTTGCCTCTGAATTGGAGAGATTTGGGTTTGATGGATGGGCTGTTAGGTGGATAAAGAATTGGTTGGATGGTTCCATCCAAAGAGTTGCAGTCAATAGCTCAATGTCCAAATGGAAATCAGTAACAAGTAGTGGCCCTTAGGGGTCCAGACTGGGGTGGGTACTATTTAATATTTTCATCGACAACATAGTGGGATTGAGTGCACACTCAAGTTTGTGAATGACAGACACCAAGCTGAATGGTGCAGTTGATTCACTTGAGGGAAGGGATGCCAACCAGAGGGACCTTGACAGGCCAGGAGTGGGCCCACGCGAACCTCGTGAAGTTCAGCAAGGCCAAGTGCAAGGTCCTGCACATGGGTCAGGGCAATCCCAAGCACAAATACAGGCTGGGCGGAGAATGGATAGAGAGTGGCTCTGAGGAGAAGGACTTGGGCGTGTTGAGTGATGAGAAGCTCAACATGAGCCGGCAACATGCACTTGCAGCCCAGAATACCAATTATATCCTGGGCTGCATCAAAAGAAGTGTGGCCAGCAGGTCGAAGGAGGTGATTCTCCCCCTCTACTCTGCTCTTGTGAGGTACAAACCTGGAGTACTGCGTTCAGCTCTGAGGCCCCCAACATAAGAAGGACATGGACGTGTTGGAGTGAATCCAGAGGAGGGCCACGAAGATGATCAGTGGAGTGGAGCACCTCTCCTATGAAGACAAGGCTGAGACAGTTGGGCTTGTTCAGCCTGGAGGAGAGAAGGTTCCAGGGAGACCTTATAGCAGCCTTCCAGTACCTGAAGGGGGCCCACAAGAAAGCTGGAGGGGGACTTTTTACAACAGAGCATAGTGATAGGACAAGGAAAAGGGTAGATTTAGATCAGATATAAGGAAGAAATTCTTCACCGTGAGGGTGGTGAGGCACTGGAACACGTTGCCCAGAGAAGCTGTGGATGCCCCATCCCTGGAAGTGTTCAAGGCCAGGTTGGATGGGGCTTTGAGCGACCTGGTCTAGTGGAAGGTGTCCCTGCCCATGGCAGCGGGCTTGGAACCAGATGATCTTTAAGGTCCCTTCTCTCCCCCATCCCACTGTGGGGGGAGGGTGAGCAAGCAGCTGTGTGGTGCTTGGTTGCAGACTGGGGTTAAACCACGACAGCATATTCTT